CCCCCCAGCGTGTCTGTCGTGCTACTTGAGAGACAAGACAAGACAAGACGAAGGCCCCAATGTCCCATACCCACCTCACCGTCCCGCACATGGGTGCCGAGTCAAGGCGTGGCGTCGTGCGAGGGTCCATTGGCCAGGTGCCGGCCGTCGGAGCCCGTCTAGCCATGCAGCGCACAGACTGGGCGGGCAATATTTGGGCGCTGCCAAGTGAAGTGCCGACGACAGGAACTGTCCGCCGTTGAATGTGAAACTGGGGTGCGTCGTGTCTCGCATCCATGATTGATTGCGCCTGGGTGATCTGCCGCAGCGTTGCCACGCCGTCTGGACACCATGTAAAAGGCGCCTGGGCTCTCGCTCGGCCCTTGGCGTTCCCCGATGCTTCCAAGTATTGACCCCCCTGGTGATAAGATCCAGGCCTCCTTGACGGACGTCCTCTGCGTTGCTGTCGAATTTGCATCTCCAATGCTTCGCTATCTGGCATGGCGAAGTGGTGGCTCATAGCGGCTCTGGCCGTGGTGCCATCGGCAATGGCAAACGTGTCGCTCACCGATGCCGTCGCGAAGCTCCCCTCTTGCGCTGTTCGTGCCCCGGATTCATGTTGGCCTGGGGAAACGTCTGCTAAACCTGTCAGCTCACATGCGTCGCGAGTGCCGTCTCGACCTCGACGTGCTCGTTGACCGACCAAGTCTGCCTCTGCAACAACGACCCGCTTCAACAAAACATAACAGAATGCGTCCTCGCAGGCTGCTCCATCAAGGAGGCCCTCTGTACGTCGGGCTCATTGAAGAACACTCAGACTCGGCTAACAACAGCAGTCACCAAAAACCTCACAGAATCGGCCTGCGACCGCCCCATCCGCGACAAGTCCGGCACCCTCATCACCCTCTCCAACACGCTCGGCATCATCACCGGCCTCTTCGTCTTGCAGCGCTTCGCCTTCAAGATCTTCTCGCGCCTCGACATCCACCTCGACGACTGGTTCACGCTGCTCACCACGCTCGTCGGCGTGCCCGCCACCGTCATCAACCGCTACGGCCTGCCGCCCAACGGCATCGGCCGCGACGTCTGGACGCTGACGGACCAGCAAATCACCAACTTTGGCCGCTTCTTCTACGTCATGGAGGTAATCTACTTTACGCAGGTTGGGCTGCTGAAGCTCGCGCTGCTCTTCTTTTACATCCGCATCTTCTCCAGCACGGCCGAGTCGGTGCGCGCGCTGCTCTGGGCCACGACCGTCTTCACCGCGGGCTTTGGCATTGCGTTCATCGTGGCGGCAGTGTTTCAGTGCGACCCCATTAGCTTCTTCTGGACCAAGTGGGACGGCGAGCATCAGGGCCGTTGCATGAGCATCAATGCAATCGCGTGGTCCAACGCCGCCATCAGCATCGCGCTCGACGTCTGGATGCTGGCCATTCCCATCTCGCAGCTCAAGCAGCTGCGACTGAGCTGGCGCAAAAAGGCCGGCGCCAGCATCATGTTTTGCACCGGCGCCTTGTGAGTAGCGCACCCTGACCAGGCCGTGACCCGTGCTGACCGTTCAGCGTCACCATCGTCAGCATCCTGCGGCTCAAGCTGCTCGTCGACTTTGGCTCCGACTCCATCAACCCGACGTGGGACAACTTTCAGATAACATGCTGGTCGACCGTCGAGATGAACATCGGCATCATATGCGTCTGCCTTCCCTCGCTGCGCCTGATGGTTATCCGCACGTTCCCACGTGTGTTCAACACCATATACGGGGCCAACTCACGGCAGACGCGCCACAGCGACATGTCCAAAGGCGACAAGGAGAGGCGTGAAGGGAGAGCAAACGACAAACGGGGCGAGCAGGACGAGGTTCAACTGGTGCCCATCAGTGAGCCCGCGTCCAAAGCTTCCCAGGTGTAATACATTCGCACAACCTGTACATCACGCAATGTCAGGGGTAGACGTACACGACGGGCGGCAGGGCAGCGGTCCACGAAAGATATGGTGGACACATCACGACGTAATGTAAATCTCGTTGTCTAATAAAATCCAACGCGGCCTTTTAGGGCTCAACAGTGCATCCTTGCGCAGAGAGACGTTTCAGCGGCTGTAGATATGAAGCACAGACGCGCCGTCGATTACACGGCCCTGCTACACCCGCGTGGTGTCGGGTCCTCGCCCATCGGTTCTTTACAGCAGGGGCTTCTTTACTCAACGTCCTTATGAGTATATATTGCACCCACGTCCCAGCTCCGACCTCACTCCTGCCATCGCGCACTACTCAATCCTCTCGACCCAGACCGCTTCACCATGAGACTCCAGCATATCCTGGCTTACTCCCTCTCCCTTGCCACCTCGACAGCGGCGGCAAGGGTGGCGGCAGATCCTAAATACGATGCCATTGGTGTAGGTGAAAGCTGTTCGGGGACGATAGGCAGGACACGAGGCTGACAAACTCGGCGTGTCCGACAGAATTGCACCACGCAAAGGGGCACCCTCGGCCACTGCGTCATTCACCGCAGTCACTACCCCTGGCTGGAAGAGGAGACTCTGCGCATTCCTTGCCACGAGGAGTTTATAGTACGTCTTCTTCCAAAAGGCTTCACGAGACAAGAATGGTAAGGCAGACGCTGACGGCTGCTGGCTCTAGTGTCAGAGAGAACGCAATCCGTGCGGTTGGCTCAAAGGGGCCACAAAGGCTGCGTGCGGGTATGTTTTCGCCTAGGCAGCGACAGTCGCACACGCCTACGATGCTCAGGATGCCTGGCCGCTGCCATGGCTCTAGCTGGAATGCACTGGCGGGGGGCCAGTCTGCATGGGAAATGGCAATACGTCTGGACGAGGCTCTCTGGACTCGCAGGGAATGACGCTCGATCGTTGCGGCTGAAAGCATCTCACCGTATCCGTATGCTTAGTCGCAAGTACATCGTGTAGAACAGCCGCGGCACTGCCGGCTCGCATGGTCAATAAGTTGCATTAAAACATCGCAATCCCCAACGCCATGCATGTCAATATCACGCTCAGTCCGACCCCAGGTCGGCCAGCGTCCTAAATGCAGGCTTCTGCGCCGGCGCCCTCGCCGCTCCCCCTTGACCGCCGGCCTGTCCCGGCGCCGGCTTCCGTCCGTCCGCCGCAGGCTTGTGGACGTTGAACCACGACGACTCGGCCGCCTTGCGCGCGTCAAACTGCGGCGGCACAACTGTCAGCAACTCTGTCCTGACTGGGGCCATCACTCCTCCTTCTGGTTACGTGCCGAAAACAGAGACACCAGGTACAGTCCGACAAAGACGACCAGCATGTTCAGGAGGCCTGTAAAGTTGAAGGAGGGTCCACCCGCACCCCGGGCCGCCGGCGCGTCGCCGCCGAGCGTCCGCCCCGGCGTCTTGAAGGCGTCGCCAGACTTGCCCGCGCCGGCCGTGTCGGCGAGCTTGACCGCCTTGGATATGGCTTCGCTGAGGGCGGAGGGGTTCGCGCCCTTGATCGTGTCGATGCAGTTGCCGCCGTGGAAGACCTTGAACGTGGGCATCGCGGAGACGCCGTTGGTGCGGGCGATGGCGGACTGCGTGTCGACGTTGACCTTGGCAAAGGCCACCTTCTTGGGGCGCGAGTGCTCCTTGGCGAGGCGCTCAAAGTGCGGCGCAATCATCTTGCAGGGGCCGCACCAGTCGGCGTAGACTGTCTGGTCAGCGTGCGCACCAACACCAGGAGGCCGCGGACGTACAGTCGGCGACGACGACGTTGGTGCCGGAGAGCAGAGACTGCCACTCGGCGACGGAGCCGATGCTGATGGGGCCGCTCATGGTTGGCGATGCGTGCGCAGCTATCGATGGAAGTGTTGTCAGAGTCGGGGACTCGAGGAATGATGCGCCGAGGTTGGAAGTGGACAGCTGGAGGCGCGGAGGCGGCGCGGCGGCACGGCGCTGGCCAACCAGGGCGGGGCGGGAAGGCGGACAACCGCGAAGGGCAGGCGGTGGCCGAAGTGGACCATCGTTCTGCCGGACATATACCAGATCGTCGACTTTTCGAGGGCCTGTCACCGACCTGGACCCAGACCTGGACCCCAACTTCCCAGGCGCCCGCACAACGGTCGGCAACATGTCATTCCACGAGCAGCAAAGCAAGGTGCGTGAGTTTCGAGTTGCTGTAGCTTCGGTGTGGCTAATTGTGGTATCAGAAGCGCAAGACGACGGACAATGGCGGCCGCCAGGAGCGAATCTCGGCCAACCCGTCGGCCTTGTCCTCGCCCATCTACGGCGGGCGCCACTGGACCGTGTCCGTGGCCATCCCCGCCAGCGTCATAACCAGGTACATAACAGCTTTGCCCCGACTTGCCTCCAGAGCAGCCCGTAACCATTTTATAGCCTCGCGACCGCAGACCAGCGCCTGGCCGTCCCCGGCCGCATCGCACGTGCCCTCGCCATCTTCTCCGTCGACGAGGTCGTCATCTTTGACGACACGCCCCTCACGCAGCGCCCGCGACACACAGACCCGGCCGCGTACACGGGCGACACCGACCCGTGCCATTTCCTCGCCCACGTCATCAGTTTCCTCGAGGCGCCGCCATTCATGCGCAAGGCCCTCTTTCCACTGCACCCCAATCTACGGCAGACGGCGCTGCTGCCCACCCTTGACATGCCGCACCACCCCAACCCCAGGGAATGGATCCCCTACCGCGAGGGAGTCACCCTCCCGGGCAAGACGAGCTCCGGCGAGGGCACCCTCGTCGAGGTCGGCCTGGAGGAGCCCGTCGAGGTCGAGGAGACCATCCCGCCCAAGACACGCCTCACGCTCCTCTTCCCCGAGGACGAGTCCAAGCCCCCCACTGTCGTCCACCCGGCGGCACCCCGCGAAGAGGGCGGCTACTACTGGGGCTATACCGTCCGAAGGGCGTCCTCGCTGTCCAACGTCTTCACCGAGTCGCCGTACGAAGAGGGTTACGACATCAGCATCGGCACGTCCGAACGGGGCACGCCGATATCCCGGGCGTTTCCGTCGTCTACTCCGCGCCCCATCAACTTCAACCACATGCTCATTGCCTTTGGTGGGCCCAGGGGTCTGGAGTTTGCCGCAATGAACGACGAGCAGCTCAACGGCATCGGCATCCAGGGTCCTAAGACGAGAGAGCTCTTCGACCACTGGATCGACGTGCTGCCGAACCAGGGCAGCAGAACCATCAAGACCGAGGAGGCGCTGTTCATCGGCCTGACAGCTCTGAGGTCGCTTTGGGAGACTAGTTGAGGTATAGTTTGGTTTTTCAAGATACCCAGCTTCGAGGGGTGCGTATATAAGACGCGCGTCCCGTATGACCTGTCTATATGCACGAGACCTAGTGTCGACGAAGCTCTGTGTCCAAGACACAGCATGTGCACATTATGCACGGTTTATACACAGCAGAGCCGTTGAAGGCACCACCTCTAAATCGATCCCCAACGCCGTTCCATAGGTGCCACCAGATGAATGGGCCACAAACGTAAAAGTAACGCTATACGTGTATTAAATTGACCGCGTGTCGGCGTCCATTGCCACAGCCTTGCCGAGGCTCTCCGTGCCAGCCATGGCCTTTTCGCCTGCCCGCTTGCGCAGCACGTTCTCGATGAAAGCCTCGCCGGCCTTGTACGAGGAGCGGACGAGGGGGCCGCTGGCGCAGTAGAGGAAGCCCATGTCGAGGGCCCGCTGGCGCCACATCTCGAACTCGTCGGGTGTGACGTACTTTTCCACCTTGAGGTGGCGCTTCGTCGGCCGCATGTACTGGCCAAATGTGACGACGTCGACGTCGGCCTTGCGCAGCTCTGTTCCTTGTTAGCAGTGGGTTCACGAAGCTTTGACGATGTGCATACCCCTCAAGGCGTCCATGACTTCGTGCTCCTGCTCGCCCAGGCCGAGCATGATGCTCGTCTTGGTGATGATGCCCTCCTTGCCCCTCACGTCCTTGACGTGCTTCAGCACCTTGAGACTCTGCCGGAAGGTGGCCCTCCGGTCGCGGACATACGGCGTCAGGCCCTCGACGGTCTCGACGTTGTGTGCGTAGACATCAAGACCGCTCTCGGCGACAATCTTGACCATGTCGAGGTCGCCTCTGAAGTCGCCCGTCAGGGCCTCGACCAGCAGCGAGGGCTTCTTGTGCTTAATCTTGCGGATCGTCTCGGCGAAATGCCTCGCGCCGCCGTCGACGAGGTCGTCGCGGTCGACGCTGGTGAGGACGACGTAGCCCAGGCCCCAGCGGGCGAGGGCCTCAGCCGTGTGCTCGGGCTCGTGGGGGTCGAGGGGCGGGGGCGCGCGGCTCGTCTTGACGCTGCAGAAGCGGCAGCCGCGGGTGCACGTATCGCCCATGAGCATGATGGTGGCCGTGGCGGCGCTCTTGTCGGAGCCGCCCCAGCACTCCGAGATGTTGGGGCAGCGCGCCTCCTCGCAGACCGTGTGCAGGCCGAGCCCGCGCAGGTCCGACTTGATCTTCTTGTAGTTGTCGTTGCCCGCGGGGATGGGCGTCTTGAGCCACTCGGGCAGCCGCGTGATGGTGCGCTTCTTGCCCGCGGGGCCGACCTCGGCGGTGCGCAGCGTGTACGCCTCCGTGGGCGACAGCGGCTGCGCGGCCGACGACGTGCCCACAAAGTCGGCAAACGGGGCCACCGTCGTGTCTTTGAAATACGACTTTCGCTTGGGCTTCGCGGCGGCGTCGTCGCCGGGGTTTGGGACGGTGGCAAAGGCGCGGGCGGCGGCGGGCGCGGCGCTCAGGGCCCTCCGGACGGGCGCACGGGCGCGCTGGAGAGACGCCATTCGGGGCGGACGATGTGATGCTCGGCGGACCGGCTGTCGATGGAAGAAGCGCACCCTTCGACGGTGTTGATGGGCGAAGTGTGGTGCTTCGGATGAAGGATGAGGTGAAAACGGACCTCGCGCTCTGGATCCGACACTTTCTCACCAGGTGAGCTAACGGCAGATCCACCCGCAGGGCCTATTGCGGCGGCAGCGCACGGGGAGCAAGCCGATGAGACCCGCCCTCAGGCGGCAAAACGAGGGGTCCTGCGCGCAGTGGCTCCAGGTCGGCGCTGCTGTGGTGCCACGGTTCCAAGGTTGGGGAGCGCGGCTGGGGCGAGCGCCGGCGGCGGCCCAATGGGCGCTGTAGCCATTACTAAGGCGCGGTGCCCTGCCGCGCACCGGAGCGGAAGACGGCGGCTTGCCACGATGAGCTCCGGTGATTCATCGAAGTCGCCTAAAGTTCGGCTGGGCCGTCAGCGCGACAAAGCCGACGACGGAGCAGTCACGATTGCGTGACGAAACGACGTGTCGTTTGTTCCCGTCGGCATATCAAGATGCCGAGAAGCATTGCATTTGAAGAACGGTTCACCTGGCAAGGAATAGGACTTTTCAGCTCGCGACAAGGTGAACACTGAACAGCCAGGTCGGTGACTTGGTAGCCCGTTTGCCTGGCTCATGTCCTGCGACTCCTGCTCCCAGACCTGTCGTGTAGTCGGGCCCCAATGTATGTATGTATCGCAGCAGGCCTCAATAAGTCACTCGCGACGCATCGTGCACCCTTGCATAAACAAGTTTGCGCACCTTCCGCCGCTCATGAGGCACATGTGGCACAGCAGTATAGTATTTGCACTCATAGTTGCGATCCGTCAAGATTGGTTATTTGTCTCGGCTGCGGCACGGTACTGCACGTCAGATCCTCACTTGATCAAATCGACTTCTAAATTTCAAGTCTTCCACCGCTTCCACGCCCATTCCTCACCTAACCCCTCATCTCCGTCGAAATTCACCAAACTCTGTTCAGGGCACGCCGGGTTCCGGTCCAACTCCCGCGGGGGAGCCGGGCGCGAGCGCGCCACATCGTGCGGCCGCAGCCCGAGGACCTCCCGTCCCCGTTCTAAAAGGGTATCACCGTCAGAATCGAATAAAAGCAAAGAGTCCAGTCCCCCACTGTAGGCGAAACCAACACCAGGTGAGAGGCGCCCCGTGACGCGCTCTCCCCGGCCCTCTGGTCCTGGGCCGCAGAACGCAGCGCCGAGGCGAGGGGCCCGTTCTCATGCAATGTAAAGAGTCAAATCGCCAACCTTTCCCAGCCAGCGAGCACGCACGTTGCTCGAGGCCCAAATGATGCCGACAGGGGATCCAATGTCATAGACCTCAAAGACGACAGCCGTCTCCGGATCGAAGCGTTGTAGAAAGTCACGCGTGCTAGCGCAGGCGTGATAAAGGGGCATCGGGGTAAGGTATGTAAAAGAGAACCAAAAGGTACGCTTCGATCTGGAGAGTAAACTGGCGTCTACCCTGAGAGCGGCCCGTGGGCAAAAGGATGTGCAAGAAGGTAGGAACTTGTCCTAAGCGCAGCGCAGTCGACGCGCGCGCAAATGGTTGCCGCACCCGCTGGTTGAAAGAATTGGATGTCCGAAAGGGTATGCGGCGCAGTTCGCGCAATGTGAACTGCGCCGCGATCGATATGCGACATCTAGAAGAGCGTTCCTTCTCGGCCAAGGCCCAACACGCTTCATGGTTGGCGATGTGAGGCGAGGGGCAGGCTCAGGTTCGCGGACGAGGCAGGATACGCTCTGTCCAGTGCGCAAAAGGTCGTCATGATCGTAGATGTCATGCCAGAAGGGTATTCGAAAACGCCATAGGCTTAAAAGGAAGATGACAAAGGAAAGTAGTCGTGGGTTGATGTCCATGGTGGTCGCCTCATGATGAGGTCTGTCGAGCCCTGTGATGAACTCAACGTCCTCCCTCCACGCCCCTTGCAGCCGCCGAGGCTGTCGGGTTTACATCATGGCAACGGCCAGCATGCCGGCGACACCGGCCAGAGCAACGCGGGTCGCACCGAGCGCGCCAGCGGCGTTGTCGGGCTTGACGGACGGCTTGGGGGCGCCAGTGGTGGTGGGCGCCAGCGTCGGGGAGGTAAAGTAAGAGGTGGTGCCCACGGTGGACGAGGTGGTGGAGTTGGAGGCGGCGGTGACGACGTGGACGCGGGAGAGAGTGAGCGTCTTGGTGACCTTGGCGGTGGAGGTGATGGTCGTCGTCGAGAGTTCCGCGGTGGTGGCGGTCTGCGCAAAGGCGACGGCCGGGAGGACGGCGAGGATGAGGCCCGACAGCTGCATCTTGTCGACGGGCGGCGTGTCGTGACGGAGAAGTGACGGTCGCGGCGACGCGGTGAGGGCGTGTATAAGTCAAAGAGGGCCGCTCAGCGGGAGCGTTGCAGGCGTATAAGCGAGCGCGGGCGCGTATGTGCAGTACAAGTGGGTGGTCGCCGAGGAATCCTCCGCCAGTGTTCGCAGCTGCGAGTCTTGGGTTGGCTGGGCTCGAGGTATGTTTTGGCGCGGCGGCGAGGCGGTCGAGGGCCAGTTAAAGAGGGCGACGGGAGTCGTATGTGAAACGTGGAATGTACGAGGCGGGACGGACTTTGCCAACGAAGTCCTTCTTGGTGCGGGAACCAGGGATGAAGCGAAACGTGCGCGTATCGTGACTAGACCAGAGGAAGGGGGGCAAGAAGAGAAGGAGAGGAGGCAATCTTTGGGATGGGACGGGCTAATAACTAACGATCATGCCGCCACCGTCGCCGCTCGGGGTGGGCGGCGGCGGCGTGACAGACAACCTGTGAGCCCGGTCGACGACGAGGGCGGCGGCTGCAAGACAGTCGGAGCGTCGAGTGAGATGAGGGTGCCCGCCGCCCGCTGGGCTGGGCTGGGGCTGTCTGGCTGGCGGGCACCACACCAGGACATTGGACACCACACCACACCACCACCACCAACGCGCGCGCCCTTGTACCTGTACCTGAGCCGGGCCCTTGGCCGGCCGAGTCTGCCCGCGGGCCTGGGATGCGCACGAGTCGTCGTCGCTCGATTTAGCAGCTTCTGCACTGGGCGGCGTTGATCTTTTCCCTCTGTCGATGCGGGAGCCGGATCGCCGCGCTGACCTGGGGCGACCCGAGCAAGCCCTTCACCCAGCTCGGTAACAAAGGACGTGATCATCTTTGTGTTGCCAGCACAGGTGACCAGCCTACGACTGCGATCCCGTACACGCACACGTACAGCACAACAGACACAACGTCAATAGCGCGTCCGCTGGCCTTCATTGTCTGGCGGCGGCACCATCTCCCCCTCCCTCCAGACGGGACAGCCCTGCGCGGGTAATATTGCGCTGTGTCAAGCCCATTGTCTGCCTGTTTCAGTCGGCGGCACGCTTTGCGCCGACTTACACGCACCAGAGCGGGACGCCGTGCCGACGCGGACGGGAGTGGAACGGTCAGCCAAGGCAGCACGCATCTCTTGGCCCTCTCTGTCAGCCTTGGGGGGGCTGCAAGCGAGTGGAATTCCATGCCGCTTCCAGGTCGCCTCTTCTTCTCCCGGCGCGACCCGGCAAACCCGCCTGCGAGCCATTTAAAAGGACACAAAGAGAAAAATCTTTTGCCATTCTCCAGCCTGTTGGCGCAATGGCCTCATGCAGCACCTCATGCGCTGGCCAGCCGCAGTTTGCCACAGGCGCGGACGCCGCCAAAGTACCGGTACCTGGGTGGCCACATGGGCCCTCATCGTGGCCGGCGCCACACCCATAGGTCGGCGCCTCCTCCTCCTCATCCGCCTCTGACCTTCCCGCTCTGCCCTGCCAACCGAACATGGCCTGGGAACCTCTGTGGTGGTGAAAAGAGCGGGCAGAGACCAGCAGCGGCCGAGTGGCCACTACGGAGCCTTGGAGCACAGCAGATGAGTGCTTTAAAATTTGTGCAATCTCCCCCGGCCCGCTGATTGGGCGTACGGCTGAGCGCACGGGGCTCCACTTTCGCCCGTTCCTGCGTTGGCAGCAGCCCTGGCAGTCGAGTGGCCCCGCTGTGCCACTGCCCGGGCCAATGGCTGCCTCGCGTGCCTGACGCTTTTCTGCTTTGGGGCAGTGTGACTTGTGGGAGGAGGGGGAGGGGCGGCCGCTCGTCGTCTTCGAGTTTGTTTGCCTTTGCGTCTGCACCCATCCATCCAGCCATTCATCCACCCATGGGCCCCAGGCAAAGACAACAAAGCCAAAGCAAGCGAAGCGGTGCGGCCCACCCAACCCGCCAGGCTTGTCCGCGTCCGGCGTCGTCCTCGTCGGCTTCGTTGGGCACACACACAGACAGGACAGGACATGCAGGCGCAACTGCCGCGGCTTGGACCAGTGCGTGCTAGGCTGCATGGCGACCGACGCAACGGGCCAAGCGACCGCCTCGCGCAGAAGCAAGCCTCGCGAGACACGCATTGACTCGTTAGACTCGTTCATATTGCGTCTCATTCAGCAAAACCCGGCCTTGCCGTCTCCCTCGGCGAGCGCGCCTCCAGAAACAAAGGACCTCTTTCTCCCTCGTCGCATCAATTAATTGCCAATCACCCCCCTTCGCAGGGAGCCCCGTCGCGCAAAACCACAGCAGAGCAGCCAGCGCACGCGCACGAGCCAGCACGCGCCTCCTGCGAATCGCTGGCGCTGCTATTCCTGAAGCAACAAGACCCCCCGGGCCGCCGCACGAGTGGCCCGAGGCGCCCTGTTGAAACAGCACCCCAGCGGGAGGTGGTCACGTCCAGTCCAGCGGGCGGCCCTGGCGCGCGAGCGTGCAATCTCGCTTCGCTGCAGAGCCCGGGCCTCCCCAGGTTTAATCGCGCCAACATCGCCAGCCCCTGCTCGGGCTGCTCCGGGGGAGGCACTCGCGTGAGCGGCCTGGGGTGGATGGTTTGGATCACGTGACCTGACTGGTGGTCGTCCTCGTCGTCGAGCTCGGCGGGCCAGGACCTCTTCTCATCAACCAGCTTGTTTGTGCACTGTCCACGTCTGCGTTTCAGGGGACGTGAAACGGGCGGGAACCATTGGCCCGGGCCATTCTGTGGCTCAGATGGGTTCGTGCGGCCGACTCCAAACGTCGGTCGGGTTGTAAGTGTCGCTGGCCGGGTTGGGCGTCACACCGCCGTCGTCCAAACGACGTGGCCCTGCATCTCGCGCACCACGTGTGCGATTGCTCCGTAGGTGCTCCGTAGGAAATGCGAATGGAGAGGCGCGATATAGTGCTGTGCAGCATTACAGTATGTATACGGAGTACTACGTACATAATACTCAGTGGCGCAGTAGTATCGTGACGCTCCAGCCAATGCAAGGCGCTGTCACGGACTCCGGCGTCGCACAGCATCGTCGCACCGGCCGTGGCGAGTGAGCTGGAGTGGTGGCAGATTTGTGGCGTCAGCACCCGATCGCATCTGCCCAGACCGCCTTCCCGTGTGGCCAGCCGCGACCTGCTGCAGCTGCAGTGTAGCATTCGCGGGCTCGCATCGCCAAGTTCTGGGCTTGCGCCATCGAACCCAATGGCTTACGCCAAGTGCTGGGCAACGGCAGTCAAGAGATGGCATCCGACTACACTCGAGATTCGTGTAACGCGACGGGCAACGTCCTTGCTCAATGTTCACAAGACACTTGACGGTACAGAAAAGACTGCATAGCTATATTCATGCTCATTATGTCCTGGGTATCAACCATGTGTTGGCCATACAGCACACGCGCCCAATTCGAATTCTCGCATATCCTCCCTCCTCCACTTGCACCGCCCGCTCAGGCGAGCCAGTACCAGGCCTTTTGCAGCCAGTTCTTGGGCACGCGCTCCTCCTCCATGGCCTCGAGCTCGTCCATCTCCTTCTTGCCGGTGATGGTGTCGACCTGGTCCACGGGGATGCACATGGGCGTGCGGAAGTAGATCTTGTGGCCGACGTAGAGGATCAAGAAGACGGGCAGCGTGATGTACGCGGCGATAAAGTCCTTGGCCTTGAAGGGGATGAAGGTCTGGAAGCCGTTGGTGATGGTGAGCAGCGAGACGACGACGAGGACGATCCAGGTCGCGTAGGGCTGCAGGGGCGTCTTGTAGGGCAGGACGTGCAGCATGTTGTGGTACTGCATGGCCTTGCGGAAGCGCAGGTACGTGATCATGACGACGATCCAGGCGACGAAGCCGGAAATGGTCGAGATGTTGACGAACCAGTTGAAGACGGTGGCGCCCGTGTTGGACACGTTGAGGTAGGCGAGCAGGCCAAACGCCCAGGTGAAGAGGACCGAGACCCACGGGACGCCGCGGCGGTTGACGCGGCTGAAGAACTTGGGGGCCTGGCCGGTGAGGGACATGGAGTACAGCACACGGCTGCCCGAGTAGAGGAAGGAGTTGCCGGCGGACCAGGCGGAGGTGAGGATGGCGGCGTTGATGATGTGGTTGAGGACGGGGATGCCGACGCGCTGGATGCCAATGACAAAGGGGGAGGCGCTGGCGTTGGAGGCGCCGAGCAGCTGGGGGTCGTCCGAGGGCACGAGGATGCCGATGATGAGGGAGGAGATGCCGTAGAAGATGGCGAGGCGCCAGACGAAGCGGCGGGCGGCCTTGGGGATGTTGCGGCGCGGGGCGACCGTCTCGCCGGCGGCGATGGCGATGAGCTCGGGCGAGGTGATGAAGGCGAAGCCCGCCGTGACAAAGGCGTGCCAGTAGCCGAGGAAGCGGCCCGCGTCGCCGTCGGCCTTGTAGGGGACGAAGGCGCCGGGGTCCTTCCAGTAGTGGAAGCCGAGGATGCCGTCCTGGTTGGGGCCGCCGCCGAAGAAGATGACGACGCCGAGGATGATGAGGCCGCAGATGGTGATGAGCTTGATGCTGGCGAACCAGAACTCGGCCTCGCCGAAGAAGCTGACGGCGATGATGTTGAGCAGCAGCATGACGACGAGCACAATGGTGATCCACACGGCGATGTTGACGTTGGCGCCCCAGTAGTCGATGACGATGCCCGCGGCCGTGGCCTCGGCGCCGACCAGCATGGCGTACGCGTACCAGTAGTTCCAGCCGGCGGCAAACGCCAAGCTAGGGTCGACGAAGCGGCCGACAAAGTAGGGGACGGTGATGCCACGCATGGGCAGGTAGGTGACCATCTCGGCGAGGTTGTTCATGACGTTCCAGACAATCATCAGCATGCTCAGGTAGGCCATGAAGAGCGGCGCGGGGCCGGTGCTGGCGAGGATGCCTCCGGAGCCGACGAACAGCCCCGTGCCGATGGCGCCGCCGAGGGCGAGGAACTGGATGTGGCGAGACTTGAGGCCGCGGGCCAGCTGGTCGTGCTGCTCGGCGAGGTTATACTCGTTGCTCTCGCCGGGCCGGGTGGCCTCGACGTTGAGGCCGTAGCCCGACTCTTCTTTCTTTTCCATCATGGTTGCTCTGCGCGCGTGGTGTCTCGCCTGTGTGAAGCCTCTGTTCTAGAAAACCAGAGGGGCGGGAATGCGCGCGTGCGGGGGAAAAAAAACGGTTCTTGTCGCAGACGACCGACCCAGTTGCGTGTGTGTGTCGTAGACGCCTGTCTATGTCTGTCTGTCTATCCCGTGCGTCGCGTGCCAACTGCAACAGGTGCCGGACCGGCAGTTGAATCGCAGTTGTGGGGGTGGGTGTTGGCGGCAGCAGCAGGGCTGTCTCAAACCAACAGTAACAACGGTTGGCAATTCACAGCGTTGGAGGCAACGGCAGTGATGAAGCCCGTCTCGAGAACCGTGATCGAGAGAGAGTGGGGGAGAGGATGGATGTACGAGAGAGGGGAGGGAAGAAGAGAGAGAGAGAGGGTGAGGCCGGGCGATGCGCAGCTCCGAGGGTAGAAGAGGGGGCCAGAGGAATACATAAAAAGAAAGGGCCGGCCATGATAAGAGGCGTGGATCGGAGTAAGAAAAGTGGGATGGGGATGCGCGGTCTGTGAACCTGAATGCATATGGATGGCGGATGTGCGAACGCAGGAGGCGCAAGCCAAAGCCCAGGCCGTTCTCAGCCTGGGGCGGCCCCAGGTGTGGAGAAGGGCGCCCGCCCATGGAAGATGGAAGGGTTGGAAGGCCGCTAGGATGCGATGGGGATGGGATGCTAAACCAGCCAGATGCCAGGCAGTTCGGGGGCCCCGCCCCGCGCCCCCGGGGGGGATGGACGGTCGGGTGGAGGGAGGCGCGCGAGCCTATCTCGCTCACCACCAGTGAGAGGTGGCATCCACGGTGGGTAGCGGCCGTAGTGCGGTCCGCCGTACTTACCTTACGCTGTGTGTGCTGGGCTGCCAGTGATACCTCCTGACGCTGGTGCTTCGCTGCGCTGCCATCCATGCCCTGCCCGCTGCTGCTCCTGCGATAGTACTAGCGGGGGCCCCAACAGGCGAGTGGCACGCCGCCTGCCACCCGAAGCCTGCGAGGTCACGTATCCAGCGAACCGCATCTATCCACTGACACGGGCCAACGGCGTCCATCTGGGATCCAGCGCGAGGGGAGCAGGGATCGCAGCCTGGGCAGCCCGGGTTTGGATATGGATATTCGGATAAAGTAGAGTGGTGGTGCGTTTTGATTGCTCGATACAATACAGTACATACAAGAGATTGGCCTTGCTTTCTTCCTGGCCTCGCGCGTCCATGTCACTGGCGGGCGCTCAGCCGTCCCGTCGGAAGGATTCTGGCCGTCCGGGGGTGTCGCTTAGGTGCGCCGACGTCATCGCGACCGCCCCCGGCAGCAGGTTGTTGCACATGGCGGGAGGGAGGGACGGGGGCCGCACGCCAACCAACAACAGCGTTGGCGTAGAACCGCTTCTGCCCGCATTCGATATCAGGCGTCGCTACCTGCTGGCAGCGTACTTGCGCTGCACCTGTGCTGTGCCCGCCATGCGCCAGCACCGCTCAACAAACAAACACTGCATGGCATCTCTTTGCGCATTCGGAGACCTGAATGGAGGAGAGAATGAATGAATGCCCTCACACCTGTCTCTTATACACATCTAGATGTGTATAAGAGACAGCGCCAGCACCGCTCAACAAACAAACACTGCATGGCATCTCTTTGCGCATTCGGAGACCTGAATGGAGGAGAGAATGAATGAATGCCCTCACACTATCCTCCAAGGCCACGTGCCCTCCTCTCCCGCCCGCCCGCACCCCGTAACTTACCCCAGAGCCCGCGTCAGCTGATTTGCGCCGGAGCTGGAGCCTTGCGGAGGCGAAAATGGAGCCATTCAGTCGCACGCACGCCGCATCTCGGGGTAGCGATGGAGTCGAGCGAGGGAGGAGGAGTCGTCTCTCTGCCTCTCATGTTCGTTCTGTGCGACCGCCTGATCTCCACCTGGCCTCGCCTCTCCTTGCCTCGACTCGAACTCGACTCGCGCATGTGTCTATACAGGCATGGTTCCCCCGGCCTCCTGGCGCGCATTATGTGACGCCTTTGCCATACGTTTTACGTAGCACGATGAAAGACCGGCCTCGGTGCCTCTCTCGTCGCCTCTTACTCGCACGCAACAGGCGCGGGCGGCGCAGTCATTCGCGCCCTTTGGCGCCCATCTCGACGATTGATTCTTTCGTCGTCGTTTTGCACTGGAAGGCGCACCCGCGCGATACCGTACGTAGTGTAGGTACGTACGCCGCACAAGCGCCACTCGCGCGGCGTCAGATTCAATCGAGTGGCACTTCCCATGTGCCGCCGTGGCAAAACGCGGCGTCGACGCCTCCTGCGACGCCGCACGCCAAGGCCTGCTCGTTGTCGCCGTCTTTCGCCCAACGTGCATGCATGGGCTCGGCATGCCCGCCGCCGCCCCTGGTCAGTTGTTGGTCACCGTGCGTGCGCACCAGTGTCTTCAGCGCCCTGACCACCCACTCCGTCGGCCGTGTGTGCCTGTTGCCTGCCTGCCGTGCGTCTCGGTCGTCGCCTGCCCTGGGCGTGCCCGCCGCCGGGCGTGGGAGGCGTTTCCGCGTTGGCTGCTCGTCCGTTTCGTGGTTTTCGCATCACACACACACTCACACGCTTTCTGGTGTGTGCGCCTCCGCAGATTCTGACGGCCTGGCCCCCTCATCGTGAGCGCTGTGGCGGCGACGCCTCCCCCCGGGAACATTTTCTTTCCTCCCCGCGCGCCTTCTTCGTCGCCTTCTTTTTCTTCGACGGTGTTTCGTCGTCGACGACGGCTCGCGAGTCAGTCCCCTCCGAGAAAAAAGTGTCATGACACCATCTGCAGGTGGATCTCTGTCTCTTATACACATCTAGATGTGTATAAGAGACAGGGGTGGACCCCCGCGAGGGCATCGCCGGGGGTGCCCACAAAAACAGTCCTCGCCGACGAAAGCCGCGTGCGGCAGGCAAGGACACACCACAACAGGCGTCTGCTTCTCCAATTCTCACCTTGCGCTTCCCCACGCAAGGGGCGCCCGCGCGGAAGGACTCGGCTCAAGGGCGACTGGGCTTGGATGGGGTCGCTCAGGGAAACGAGATGAGGCCATCGTGAATAGCACGTCGAACAAGGCGCCCAAATCCTGGAGTCCCCGTCTGGAGAAACGAAAGGAAAAGCTGGGGAAGAAGATGCGACGGAGGGTGCTCCTCCTTTCCCCGCTACCCCGGCCTCGCTTCGATTCGCTTCGCGTCGCTTGGGCCCTGAGCTTGTCGCTCGCTTGCGAGGTCGTCGTGACGGCAGCGCCCAACGCGTAGTTGCCAACAGCTGGCTGCTTCTGCCAGGGCTCGGCTTCGGCGGAGGCCCAACGGCGAGGTGGCGCCAGACGGGTGGGAACCGTGCCTGGGCAGCGGCGGCCATGGCGAGCTTCCAGAAGCCTGCAGCCGCGCTCTAGGGCGCCCCCTTCCGGCTTCCAGGCTCGACACCTGCCCTCTTGGACACCTGAGCCGCCTGACTCACCGCGCCTCCAGCGCTCGGTCAGCTGCAGGTGGTGCCCAAGATGGAACCGCATCCTGCCCACTGCCGGCGTTGTAAGCCGAGCTACTTGGTCTACTGTGCCGTACATAATCCAATGTGCCGTGCTCGACCGCGCCGCAAGAGCCTGATGTGATGCCTCGGCCGTCTCGGACTATACTGTGCTGTACTCTACATCAGCATATCCGCCAAGCGTGTCTGCCCACTCTGCGCCCTCTCCTCGCGCAGCACGGATTCGGCGTCTCATCAACTCCAGGGGACCCCATGCCTCGACGAGACTTTCACGATGCCCAAGGCAATCCTTTCCTCCACACCTCTCTTGGCCGCTCCGCTCCCCACATTCATTGCTGGTGGCTGCCCCATACCGTCCTTATATCGCGCGCCTCGCCCCTCCAGTCCCGATAAGGACACGAGCCTGACCATGCGGTGAGAGAGGGGGAAGGAAGCGTGTGAGAAGAAAAAGGGTCATGCGTGTTCGAGAACCGTCCGGCTCGGCTGCTCAAGGCTCAGTAGGCGCCCCCGCGGGTGGTCCGCTGTCGGTTTCAGCCCCGACATCCAGCCATCGCACTAGCATTCAATGGTCGACGCGAATGCCCCGGCATGCACGTACCATCGTCCGCACTGCCGCTCCGGGATCCGGGCTGTTGTTTCGCGGCGCGGCGCGGCTCAGCGTGGCGCTAACTCATAATCAAACGGCCGCACGAGGCTCCGAGACGGCAAAGAGTGGCATACCGCACCGTGATGGGCTTGTCCGCGTTGCATCCTCCGACGCAATCACAGCTGCATCTCCGAATCTGCTGAGGCGGAGCGCGGCCGGGGCACATCCACGATCCACCTGTTTGGTCGCCTGTATCACATCAGCGTTGCGAGCGAGACCCTCCGAGGGGATCCCCCATTCCCACCCCCTCGGCTCCGCAACCGGAGGGTTCCCCTGCAAGAACTGGGTCCCGGGTCCAGGGGACTCCATTCCTGCTACCAAGTACGCCAGGAAACGCGGGTTGGTGGTGCTTATCGATGGAATCATGCATCGTGTTGGAGCCCCTTGGCAACGTGCGCGTAATGGCTGCCAAGTCTGCCGCGCCATTCGAGGGCACTGGCTTCGGCCCGTTCGGATGCCGTGCAGCACATTGCTGCATTGTGCTGCACGAGTACAGAGCTCAAGGTGAAGCGCGGTTGCGGCTCCATGTGGGAAGCTTCCGACCACAGCTGGACATTCGCTTTGATATGCCCTTCCGCGATGTGAGGGATTGCTCCCACATATGCACTCGACGCACTTTGATTCATGCAACGACTATTTGGAACAGTCTAAACGCACTCCAATACATGCAATCAGTATCCGTACCGGCTTTGCTGAGCCACGCCTAGGCGTTTCTCCAGCTCCCTCCTTCATACCATGTTAGAGTCTTCGCCTTACAGGCCATTCTGACCGTCCTGGAATGGGACGCCTTGCTGCCCATCGCCTGGCGCGGGAGGCGGACTACTGCCAGGAACACCTCGCTGCCCTCCACCCGGGGCATCTTGCTGTCCTCCATCAGGCGCGGGAGGTGAATCACCCCCAGGAGCACCTTGCTGCCCTCCGCCCTGCTGCCCTCCGCCAGGCGCGGGAGGCGAATCACCCCCAGGAACGCCTTGTTCCCCTCCGCCCGGGGCGTCTTGCTGCCCACCGCCCGGCAGAGGAGGCGGATTCCCACCAGAGGGGGGTGGCCCGCCCGCCAACAACTGTTCCCAAGCATCCTCGGGGATTCCGCACCAGGAGCCGTAGCCGGCAGGAGGAGGGGGTATCTTGAAATCCGGGTTCTTGCACCCAGCACCGCCCGGGGGGCTCCCGCTCGCCGGCGCGCCGCCGCCCTCGCCGGACGATTGCCCATCTGTGTTCCCAGCGTCGCCACCGGAACCACCAGCGCCGCCATCGGAACCACCAGCTCCGGGGCAGTACGTGCCGGCGGGACCTCTAGGAGGAGGATCCGCAGCGTCGTGGGTGATGCCGAAGCCGTCCTCCTGTCCGTGTTTCCGGATGTTGCCCCATTGGCGCAAAATGCGAATCTGCTCGCAGCTCCAGAAGAGGTGCCTGTCAAGCCCGCGTCATGTCTCGTCAGTAACCGGGCACAGACGCTCATCATGACACCAGAAGGGCGTGCACGACTTACTTGCCCATCGGGATCCCGATCTCCATAAAGTTCCCCAATCTTCTGGCACCTGAGAGATGGGATGTGTGTCCTTCAGGCCAAGCCAGTGACCCGTTAGATGTACAAGCGCTTGGTCTCCTCTGCGGGTGCTATTCCCAGGGCCCGTGCCAGCGCGGTCGATCCTATGCACGCTGATAGTGCAGCCGTCTTTGCGAGCAATGATGGCAGAGATATCACTTCCAGGAGTTGGTGTGTAGCAGGTTCCTCCAATCCTTTCAGCTTCAGGTCCGGCCCTGATCATGATGTTGTAGACATCCAGGCCGCCCTCACGCACTCTGGCCATCAGTCGGTCTATGGCGTCCTGGTCGTGGTTCGCTGGGTCAAGTCCACAGTCGCTCTGATGCACCGCCTTTTGGAACTCGAAGCGGATCTTGGCTCTGGAAAAGTACTCGTTGAGCGTCTCAATAGTCAGTCGGATATCACCCTCCTAGACATTTGACCAGGTGTTAGTCCAGTCACCCAAGCTCGTCCGTATGAGGGGAAGTTTGCATGGTGTGCGGGATACCTACCGTAGGGCAATCTTGCTCCCGCTCGCAGCAATAGTGCACGATAGTTTCGAAAACAAGATCTTTGCCATCGTCGGCCGGAGGATTCGCTCTCTGCCACAGTTTGTTCGGCTCGTAGTGGGCATCGAGTGCCTTGCCCAGCTGCCCAATATCGGGCCTCAAACCAACGCCTGCAGCCACTGGAGCCAGAGCCGCAGATCCGAGTAGGAGCAATCGTAACATTTCCATAGCGACGTGAGGCTTGCCGGGCTAGTGAGGTGAGTGAGCGCTGTTTGATCTTGCTCTGTTCGTGATCTTCCACGATATCAGTCCGTCGGGGTGGCACGCTTGTTATATGCATCCCAGAGCATCATCATATGCTAGCTTCCAACATGGACATGACAGTGCATGCATGGCTGCTGAAATGGAGTAAATTCGCGCAACGCAATACCAATTCGTCGCAGAAGTGAAGTCGTATATTACGGTGCGCTGAGCTTGCAAATTGCCTTCATGCTCGGGGGCTCTGGCTGCGCCGAGACCTGATGGACAGGAAGGTTCTGTTCAGGCCAGACAATATCGTTATAGCTAGGTAAGCAGCCAGCGTCAAAATGTGCATAGAACAATCTTTTGCATCTAAATCTATCTAGACGAGTAGAATTAGTGAGGTTAAGGCCCTGCTAATGTTATATTAAGCTTCCGGAAAATCCATCAACTCGCGTCCACCTGGGTTTCAGGACGGCGGTGCTAGAAATTCCCATCTACCCAAGGCAACCTCTCTACATGCATGTGTATTTGCCCGAGTCATCCCTAAAGGGCTCGCACGCATTGACCAGGCAGGTAGAGGCAAGAGTCGGCGCGCTCACTCTTAGTCTGCCGCAACCAAAGTTGCTGCACGATCTGTTGCCCGTAGTTCGCTCGCCATACAGTCCGCCACGTCTACAGTTGTGCGCGGCGGGATGGCCGGTATTGATGCCTTCGCTGAGCACGGCAGGCCCGTGCCGAGGCTTGTGTGCTGATACCGCCCGTCAAGTGAACATTCTCATCCCTGGCACGTATACCGGCTCGTGCGAAAATCGAGATACAGCCTTAGGCAGATGGATGATAGTTCTCGGTGCTAACTGCGAATGCATGATCACTAGATGCAATCCGTGATATCATAGGGCACACTGAGACATCAGCTAGGTGCGAAATTTCATAGTCGCGTTGCCTTGGTTGCAGAATAGCCCTTGCTATCGTACTTGCTGACTATCGGTTACCAACTACCGCGCTATTTAGAGCGTTCGATACACCTAGTCTCTGCTGCCCAATTCCGCTCTCCTCAGCCCGTCACGCATTACTTCGAGCGGCGATACTGGCCGCTCAGCCACGAGACTTCTTGGTGCTTATCACCGGGGACGGGAGGGGCACCGCCAGGCAGTCCTCCATCTCCCAGACGGTTGCCCGCAGAGCCCGCGGCGTTTCCATCCTCAAGATGGCTGCCATCGGGAGCACGGCCGCCGCTACCTGCATCGCCACACGTAGCCTTGGCTCTGGGGCCCCCGCCTTCCAGCCCGTTGTTGCCCTCGACAGGAGGCCCGTTACCCGCCTGAGGATCTGGCATCGGACCTGATCCGGGAGCGTACGTGCCGCCCACGCCCGTGGGAGGAGGATCAGAGACGTCATGGTCAAGTCCAGTTCTGTCCTCTTGGCCATGATCCCGAATGTAGCCCCATTGCCGCGCAACACGTTTTTGTTCCTCACTCAAATCGTGCTCCGACGCCCCACTGAACCGCGTCTTGTTAGCAGCCGCGATGCCTAAAAGAGTTGCAAAAGGGCAGTGGCACTTACGCGGTCGAAGACGTCATCAGATTTTCTACCTTTACCGGGGAAGAAGAACGAAACGGTACGTGGGTCAAGCCGAACCAGTGGAACACCTCGTGCGCCAATATTGGGATAACGATAGGGAGCTCATCCCCGCGCATGGTGACAACGACGCCGTCCCGCTTGAGCACTGGCTCGATCAAGAAATTCTGTCTGGGAGTTGGCATCATGCAAAAGCCCCTCCTTCCCGGCCTCGTTGTATCACTTGGTAAGATGATGGCGTTCAAGGTGTTCATCCCGCCCTCGTGGAAGTCCGACTGAAGCTCATTTAAGAGCGAGTCGTTCTCTATGGCTCCGCGGCATCGAGGGTCGTCGCGGCGGTCCACGTTTTTGAGATTCAGGCTCATGTTTGCCATGGCTACGTATTTATTGGCGCCATCGACGAGCGATTTGATTGTTTCGTTCTACACGCAGCAATTGCCTGTCAGCTGAGAACCGTATCGGACTTTGTTGGGGGGGGCCATGGAACGGAAATCCGTACCGAGGGGCACTCTTCTCCACGACAGCAAAGATGCACGCGCACATCGAACTCGAAATGCCTGCCGTCGTCGGCCCAAGAATTCGCTCGCTTCACCAGCAAGTTTGGCTCGTACTGCATCTCTGGCGTGCCGCAGTTACTCTCAACCTCGCTCCTCTGGCTAATTCCTCCCATCACCGAAGCCACGGCCGCATGGCCAAATGAGAGAAGCAATAGCCCTCTCATGATAACAAGACGTCTGACTTGACGAGGTAGTGCAGGAGGACAACTTGCGTATATTCCCAGAACGAATGTGGAGGTCATGTGCGCAGACGGCACTTGACGCGGGCATTACGAGCTTCTTAAAGGTGTTCGAAAGCACTATACGCTGCTCGGCAATCTAGACACGACAGCCGATCATCGTGCTCAGCGGGATATCATCGTGCATGCGATAATGTCCAAGATGTCGAGGGTCTGGTGGAGACGAGCTAATCTCAACGTGAAGTCTTTGACCCAAACAAACACAACTTTATTTAACGCCCAGGCCATAACTATGAGCCATCATCCCAGCTACATACGCGTACGCAGCTGAAAGCCCACATTCAATGTTGGCATATAAACAGTCAGTGCCGAGAAGTGCGTGTAGCACAACCCGTTGCAATTTACAACGCAATTTGAGCTCATGCGTATAAGTTGCATGAGGGCATTCGGACCCCTGGCAGTCAAGGGAAGTGGCCGGTGTCTGAACAGCTCGTCTCGATGGCATTGGCGAGGTCGAGGCGGGGTGGTGCAATATCAAGCTACCGGCAAGTTCATCTATCCGCATCAGTCTCAGTTTCAGGAAGGCGACGCTACAAGCGACGAAGGCATAATATATATGCCACATGGCACATCAAAATGCATAAAGTCCACGATCCCGTTGCTTTCGGTTGTGGACTTGCCCCGTTTATTTTGACTTATGTCCAGCGGCCTTCCTGCTGACATCACTGCATCAGCTAAGATACCGATGAAATTCTCTAATTACCCTCGCATCAGCAGTTGCTGAAATCTGGCGTCACCTTGTACACGTCGCTTGGGCAGAAGGGCGTCTCGATGTTGCCCATGGTGCTCATGCCCCGCGTCGGACTGCTGTCCTGGAATTCAAAGGTCTGGGAACGAACATTCTTTCTCTTGACAACTTCACCCATGATGAAAAGGTACGGGCAGGCACCAGGAGCTGACCCAACAGTAGCGAGGCATTCAAAGGCATCGTTGGGCGGCAGGCATCGCGATGATAACCTCTTTTACTATTCAAGGCTATCATAACGGACCATGGCTTCGAAAACGCTGGCTGTCCACGTCCGCCACTCAGCCCCTCTTCTCTCGGTTGTCACGACGCCGGCCGTCGATGGTGTCGACATCATACCCCGTCGTCACCCTGCTAATGTGCCGCATCAGCCCGTCCTCGCCCTCCTCGTGCACTGCGTGGCCCTTGTGGATGTTGAGCAGGCTGTCCCGCATCAACATCTCATAGTAACCCGTCGCCAGGAGCGTGGCGGGGATGTTGACGAGCACGGCGATGGGCGTGTACCCCATGTAGGTGAACGCCTCCTTTCCGAAAAAGATTGCCGCAACAATACGTGTCCCCAAGTCACGAGCCAGGTTCGTGCTGATGGTAATGTCGGCAAAGCCCCATACCATGGCAGCGTACGCGAGACCAATGACGAACGGGGCGCCGGCGGCGCTGACAAAGGGATTCGCCGGGTCGAGACACGCCCAGATGACGATGCCGATGAAGGAGTCGACAAAGAACTCGGTGAGGAACACGTATCCCAGGTTTGTCTGGTCAGGGTTGGGGAAGGAGCAGAGGATGCTGGCCGGCGCGCCGTTGGCCACGAGGGGCTTGCCGGCGGCGAGGAGCTCGGCCTTCATCTCCGATATCTGCGGCCAGTACATGCCCATGACGACAAGCCCCGCCATGAAAGCGCCGAATATCTGACTGAAGATGTAGTACGGCACCTTCTTCGTCGGGAACCCCTGCCAGACCCACAGAGCGACGGTCACGGCCGGGTTGAAGTGGCCACCAGACGTCGGGGCGCAGGTGATAATGGCAAAGGCAATGCCCAGGGCAAACGCCCAGCCGATCTGGAAGAGGCTGCCAAAGGCGGTGACGCCGATTGGGCTGGTGGTGTTGAGCGTGAAGGAGGCGATGGAGGCTATTCCGGGGAAGACGTAGAAGAAGACGCCCGTGGCCTCGGCCATGCACTCACGGAGCCATCGCGGACGACGCTCCTCATAGTTGAGCTTGCGCTGGGTGACGGGCTTGGGGGCAACGACGTTTCGAGTAATGTGTCGCTCGACAGCATGGGTCACACCCAGCTCCACTGAGATCGAGCGCGAAGGAGTCAGCTAGAGCTCTCGGTCCGTCAAGCTTATACGATGGGGACTCACGGTCGTTGGTGCGAAGCCGGTCCAACCTCTCGTCGGAAGACATGATGACTATCGGAACCCGTGCGTAGCGGCGGCCTGAGTGGCGACTGAATCTGTTAGACTGCGAGGAAGTCCGTGGAGTCGGAAGGAACCGAGGCGTGATGAGTATTCAGGGCGGCGGGCACGCCGGCTATTAATGAACATTCCGTGGCCTTGGGTGCCCTGGCGTCCCTGCGTCCGCGTCTCTCCATGGCTACGAGTACGTGTTCGCTGCTGTACACTACGTGCGTGACGGGCGACGGCTAGGGGTGCGACGTCCCGCCACCTTTGCGGACAGATAGGTTGCCGACGCAATCTGCCGGAGCCCGCATCTCCTATGTCCGTGCCTCGGCAGACCCATAATTGATGGCGATGCCCTCGGACTGGATGCAGGATAGCGGTCGAGCCGGCCTCAATGGTGCGTCGGCGGGGGAGCCATTGGAGCTTTGGGCGCCGGGATAAAGTGCTGAGTCTTGCTGATGTCGACCCCAGACCGCTCCACTTTCCCCGCGAGATCCACCGATTCTGGGGATTTTAGCTTCGCCGCCCGCGGGCTGGTTTTTGCTTGCGTCGATGACGGGCGGCGAGGGAGCTCGTCGTCGCGGAAGAAGCGACGTTGGGCTGCCGCCGCACGACGGGGCCAAGACGGCAGCTAGGGAGCCGTCTTTGCCGTGCAGACAGCCACACTGCGCAAAACCGGCAATATTCCCGGTTGAACCTAGGGCTGGGGCTGTTGGCCGCGCGTGGTGGCTGTCTGCCCAGGCCGCCACCCGCGAGGCAGGCCGGCTGTTGACGCTTGGCTGCTGGCTGCTGGCTGTTGGACGGGCTGCGCTCCGGCTCGGCGCACGCGGCTCGATGCGATGCACGACAACGACGGTGCCACCATGATGCTTGAAGAACCGTTGTCGACCCCGCAGGCGAAAGGGGGGGGGACCTCACAATGACTGTTGCGGGTGCAGCAGGCGAGCCGTCTCCGCCGTCTCCATCGGCGCGTTATGCATATTCTCGAGGTAATCTCGAGCCGGTTGCAGCAGAGAGGGGGCCACTGCAGCGGAGCTGCAGCTCGTAGTCTTGTCCGCCGGTGGATCTCGTCGGAGGGGCGAAACGGAGTCGCTGGCTGCGACGGGGCTCGATTCTGGGGAGAATCCGGGGAGGCATTCTGGGGAAATTTTCTGCGCGGGGAACTTGTCGCCCGTCCCACGGCCGTGGTGATGGATGCGTGAGTGAGGTGTTGGTGGCTGACAGCCATTCGTCCTCTGCAGACGTGAACGCCCCATTGCCCAAACAGGCAGGACTACAGTTGCGACTGCCGGCCGTCAACAACGCCGCGAGACGATTTAATTTTGCGCCATCAAGCCCCCCCTCGCCCAGCAGCCGCCAGCACCCTCGTCGATTTCCTCAGACGCCGCCCTAGCCAGCCACGCCGCAGGATCCGCTTCCCACGACCAAAGGGGAATACCCCGGATGCGCATCGTCAGCCAACCCTCTGCAAGCCTCTCGCACCATGGCTGCATCCCGGTCCCTGACAGCCGAGGCATTGCATTGCCCTGCAGCGCCCTCAGTCGCCCCCCCGAAACGCCAACAATGCAAGCAAGGGCAAGCCATCCCTCGCCGTCTTCGTCGTCTTGCACAATCGGCGCTTCTCCGTTCGCGACGGCGCGCACACAGAGCTGCGGGCCGTGGACCTCGGGACCCGCTTCTCTTCCCAGTTTCAAAAGACTTAGATCGTACGACAAGGTTCACGACGCCGTCTGGGGCCTGACACCGCCGATCAGGCCCTGTACCTGGTCTCGGGGAACCAGCGTCAGACGCGCGCCGTTGCGACAAGCAGACGGAGTGTCTCGATGGAGCATGGCCTCGTGGCGCGCTTTGAGGCTCCAATTGTGGAACTCGAGCTAGCAAGACTCCAGACGGGGCTGACGCCTATCGCCTTCATCCGTTGACATTGCTTGCTGACCGTAGAACGAGACGAAAGATGAGAAGGGACGATTCGGAAGCTCTCACACGCCCAGTTGGCCCATCACAGTCCTACATGCACAGGTGCAACTATCCTCCCGAGCACCATCCAAGAGGCGGGACAACTTGTACAGGCGACGCTAGGTTCCAAAGATGTACTTCTAGTACGACGACCTCCCCGCAGACGGGAAATGTAAAGTCGCCTACCAACTCCACAACAGCGTCATCCATGTCCGCCAGTTCGAGTGTACCAAGGTGGGCGAGCAAGGCATCTTCGTCACCGCCCGGGACCTCTGCGGATCTGACCCGAGGCAAAGTCCGAATCCTTTCCCTACATCCCGCCAATGGCTCCCTGTACCTCTCCGCCGACTCAAAAGCCACATCGGATAGATTCGCCGCCGAGAATCGGCTGGGTGCCGCACAATTGCGCCGTAAGGGCTGCCTGGTGGTTTCCTGCACAAAGATGTGCGGACCCCGCCAATACGAGGTTCATCGTATCTCCCACCGGCGGGAGGAATCCCTTCACAGAGGGCGCACTTGTTGCCGACACTGACTGAGTTGTGGTGTGATCCCTCGTCTAATTAGCATTCCCAACGTCAAATCTTTGTGACTCAGGCCCTCTGCAAGCGGAACATTATCGCGCCCTTAGTTTCCTCTTCACGCTCGCTCGAACAGCCTGAAGTCGATAGTGCACAGCCCCTCCGACACATCCGCCTAGCCTCATCGGCAACGGTGCCGAACGGAAACTCCAGGAGCCGTCACAAAAACATGGTTAGCACCGCCATGGGATTCGCCCAGCACATGGCGAAAAACCCCGACGCAAGCAGTACGACGCGTGCCACCGAGTCTAGTATATCCTTTCCGGCGACGCTTTTCGCAGGAGTTGCGTATGTACCACTTCCCGCTGCCGAAACAGGCATATGGCCTCCTCCTTCGACAAGTACCACGGCCATGCCACTCTATTCAGCGTGTCAATGTTGCAGTCCGCCAAACTAGTACCCCCTGGAGAAAGGAAAACTTACGACGACATGCCACTGGAGATGGCAGTGAAAGATCCATGCGCCCGGGTTATCCGTCACGTACCTAGCCGCGCACAGCCATCAGAGATGTCTACAGCACGAAAGAAGGTGGTACTTACCGAAGAGCCACCCATCCTTGCGGTGGAAGGGCTGTGGTGTCCCGGTATGGCGGGTCGACGAGGTTAATCACATCCGGCGATGCTTCTGTGACCGAATCGTACGGAAACGAGCCGGTACCGGAGCCGAGTACCCAAAATTTGTGGCCGTGAAGGTGCAACGGATGGCCCATCTGTCCGTCGTAAGTGCCATGGGCATGGATCGTGCCACTGGGGAGGACCTACCTGATCCATCGATCGATTCGAGACATTGAGGATGATGTCTACTGTGGTATTCCACGGCAAGTGGTACGTTGTGTCAGCCGTCCAACCCGATGAGCGCTCGCCGTGGATGATCGCCGTGTTGGGCTCTTCAAATGGCTTGCCGTTGAGAGCCCAGACGGTCGTGTCCGTCTGGTTGACCTGGAACGACAGCGTTGTGCCCGCGGGTCCTGGCGGCGGAGACACATCGGCATCAAATGGGCTGAGGTCTGGGGCGTCAAGGACCGAGGCCCCATCAATAGCTGACCCGTTGATGCGCATCCAGGCCACCGCATGACCCTCTGTAGCTTCGACATTTGAGTGCTAGAACTGACGTTAGCGACGGGCCATGCGTGAAATATCCTCCGGCATGTGAGGCGGGCGTGTTATAGGTTGACTCACGTCATAGACCACGATGGAACGGCCCTGCAGGACCTGCTGCATGTCCCCGCTCGGGTACGTAGAATATCTCAGGCTATAGCTCCCAGGCTCTTGGTCCAGCTTGACCATGACAGAATACCGCTGGCCGAGCTCCATGTGTAGGACCTGCAAGTCTTTAGCTTACCGACCTCGCCACTCCCCACAACACAAGGCATACCTTGACCACCTGCGGTTGTACGTAGAGCCCATCGGCTGCATACACCAGCATCGAATGTCCGTCCAGAGAGACTCGTAGGGCACTGACGGCACCTGCGTTGACCAGATTGAGAGCCAGCCATCCCCGTGTGGTATTTGCCGGGATTGTCAGCAGCGACGACGACGTGTTGGTGCAAGTCTCGGGCGGAAGTGAGGACATGTCGAAGCCAGGATTGAACATCATTGGCGGCATGCAGCCTCGGGGACTAAGTTTGTGCATCGAGGGCGTGTGAGATGATGCGGGCATCGCAGAGCGACCCGGAGAAGTTGCCGAGGCGAGCTCGCTCGCGTTGGTATGCGTCTGCCGCTCACGCAAAGAACGCTTGACCCCGCCACGGGCTTGTCCCTTGTGCCGCGACAGAACTTCCAACTCATGATGCGTGGTATCTGGGCCATCCTTTGCATCAACGTTGAAGACCATCTGATAGTCTTCAAGCACACTTTGAGGGAGACACTCGACCCGCCCCTGCCCGTTGGCCAGGATGCTGTCGACACACGACGGAAACGCCCCAGTCCTTTGGTACCGCTCGAAAATGACATCAGAAGGCTCGTGCGTCCAGTCGTTCAGCATAACGCTTGCTGCCTCACGCTCAGCTTCCAACAGGGCCGCCCGTTCGTTCTCGTCCTTGGCTGTCTTCAGAAACGGGCGCGGGCGCGATGCCGCAGGCCGGATAAGAAGCGGTCCGCGGATGGCATCGTTGTAGTACGCGCGGAAGTGGGAATGATACCAGTAAAAGCCGTACTCGGACGTCGTAGAGAAGCGATACGTAAAGTTGCCGCCAGGAGGGATTGGGTCCTGCACAGTGGTCAGCTCTTGTATGTCCAATTGCTTGACCTACAGCAGAATATACCTGAGTCACTCCTGGAACGCCGTCCATCTGCGGCGTGCCGCGCTGCAGCAATCCTGTTCACCATATGAGCTTCAGTAGCTGCTGAGCGGTTCTCGGAAAGCATACCATGCCAGTGCAGAGCAGTGTCTACCTTCAAGTCATTCTGCACAAACACTTCAATTGTGTCACCCTCATCCACATCGATCGCCGGCCCGGGCTGCCGCCCATTGATGAGAAACATTTCGCGCTCATGTCCGTCTAATCATTGTCAGAAGATGATGGAGGGGACTAACGTGCTCGTGGTAGTACCTGGTGATCGGAGTGCGCTGTGTATGGTAAAGTTGAACTGCCGCAACGCTGCCCTCGCAACGACGCCATAGAGCAGTAAAGCTAGCAGGCACACGTTAAACCGCGGTTTTGATTGCATGTCTTTCGATGACGCCCAAGAGCGGGTGAGCTACGAGGCATAGCAAGGAGCCATTGCCTGACGACTCAAAGCAGAAGGGCAAAGAAGAGACGAAGAGGTCAGTTCTAGCGCGGAGACGGGGCTGAGTATCGACTCATCAAGACACGCCGAGTCGGGAAAATTGCAGCGAAAGTCTGCGCCGCCAAGCGGATGTCCTTTATCAGTACGTCTCGACGGAGCGCCGTCACGACGTTCAGGTAGCATTCTCGAAGCGGATCTTGAAACCGAGGGGCAAACGCAAGCCGGGATTGCGGGTCATCGGCAACGGTGAAACCAGAATGCATGTGCCGAAGAGGTATAAGCTGGACCTATCCGACGTGTCTGGTGGCGGTGGCTCGTCCCTAACATGGAGTGAAACCTGCGACGCCGGTTAAACGCTCGGACGGCCCCGTCCCCTACTGGTGAGGCCTGTTTCGCGTTACATCGCGTTTGACGAACTGAACTCTCTGGAGCGACCGACTCTCATCAATTGCGTGCCACTGGTTGGTGGCTTTATTGCATGTGCTGCTTCATTCATGGCGCTCCCTCATTCTATCAATGGTTCTGGCGCGTCATTTGTGCGGTATGTTGCGTTCGCTTGCAAGCTGGGCTCTGCGCACTAACAGCGCACTGTATCGGGCTAGACAGGCGCCCCGGACAGTCAAAATGGCGACTAGTCCAGGATCTCGTATGTTGCCAAGCTTCATTCCCGCGAGGTATTTGTGCTGGATGGGTGCCCGAAAGCTCGGTTCGTGATGCCTCACCTCGACACGTTGCCAAGCTTATGGTGCTTCCATCGTTCGTCCTGAAGTAGAAGCAATCGCCAGTGTCGCACTGGCCTGCGACCATTTGAGCTGCAAGCTTGGCAATTACCTTGAAGTGTCAAGTTTATTGGCGCCGATCGTCGTATCGGCTTGTCCATCACGCAGCTGCCAGAGCTGTTCGCCAACCATGCAGATGAAGACGGTCGCAAATATGGCATTTCACCAGACCCAAAGTATTTCACCGTGGCGCATCGCCATGATGCAGTCCGCCGCCAGTGTGGCCGACCGCTCTATCTTCATCGGGAAGCAGCTCTATCTTGGAGTCCCCCATCCCCAGGCTCTCAAGCCACGCCGATTCGGGGACGCCAAAGACGCTGATTTCTTGCTCGCCATATTGGTTGGGCATCCATTCGGCCGTGGTCGAGCCCAGGTCCGGGTTGGGCAGTGTTACCATGGTTCCTGGCGCCTCGTCGAAGGCCGCCGCGTGACTGGTCGCCGGTGCCGCGGGAGCCTCGCTGAGCGCTGCAAGGTCAAACGAGCTCGGTTGCATGTCAAAAGTGGAAAAGTCGAATGGTGCGCCGCCGAGGAAGTCGGGGTCGATGTTGTGCGGGATGGCATCCATCCAGGATGTCTCGAAATCTATCACGCCGTCGGTTGGTGCTGCAGGAGGCTGAGGCTGTGAATCACCCGTACGCGCGCCGTCGAGTCCAGGTGGCGCATCCGAGGCGGGCGCGCTGGTGGAGGGGGTTCCGCAGCATCCTTGCGTCGCTGGCGACGCGCTTGTGGCCAAGACTGAGGTGTTTGTGCCGTGTTCAGAGCCAGAGGGCGACAACGTGTCCGAAGCCGGATGATCTCGCTTGAAAGCGCACCTGCAGACGCCGTCCTCGAAGCAGCGGCACGGTTCTGCAACGGTTAGGAATCCTGCCTCGTAGCTGTGCGTTTGCGTGGCCTTACCTCTGCCCCCGTTGACCGTCGCCGCGTCGAGTCTCCCTTCACGAGCCCTCTTTGCACACTCACACTTGACATGCGCAGACCGCGACTGACGCATGGAGCGACAGTGATTGCACTGAGAAACGGGCCGTCCCTTCTTCTTGATGAGCTGTAGAGGACGATCTGTGAGTTTGCAACGGTCAGCTGAGCAATGGCCGTGTTGGAGCTGGGTGACGCACCTTTGTGCTGGCAGCTTGCGGTGCGGTGGCCGCGAATGCAGGCCTCGCAGGCGTACGTCTCGCCGTTGATAATCATGCTGAGCAAAATGTCGCGAAATGGGCCCGACGCCGCGTCAAGATGCAGCGTGAAGGCTGTCCGAGGATGTGGTTGTCGGGCTGTGGTGAGGTGCAGGGTGGCAAGCACAAACACAGTGCGACGCTGAGCAGGGAAGTTTAATCGACGTCACGAGACTAGCGCCCGCGGTTTGTCATTCACGCCCAGAGCCTCACATTGTGATACTGGCGGAGAATACAAGGATGCAAGACATCTGAAGAACATGAAATATTGAAATGAGTGATCGCATCATTGGCTTCAATCTGTGAATGATGTTTATGTGTCGCACCGGCCCGCTGTTGATGCGGTGCCCTCTCGGGCGTATCGCGGTCGCCATCAACATCCAAAACACCACCGCCACATCACAACATTGCATCGTCACTCCGCAATAGCTCTGCACCTGCACGTATCCAGAGCATCAAAGCAAGTTGGCAGGTTTTAGCGATGCGCACAGCTTGTGGCAAAAATAAAAAGAACAATCTTCTGCCAGGAAGAATGGCAAAAAAAAGAGTTTTTGAACTTTCGTTCGAGAGTGGTTTCCAAAGATTTGTGTTCGGGGATCGAACGGTGCACCTCGTTCATCCCCCCATATCCCATAGCCACCTGAGGGAGCAGTTTGACCTGACCGCTGCGCCATGCAACGGATGCCCCTGCTCCCCCGATGAACAGTTCGATTGTTGGACTATATAACCCTTACACACGTGCTCGGGGGGAGCGGCCCGACGCGTGGGAACTGAACACGCGCGCGTGCGGCTGCTGGGGAGCGGCAGCCCAGGACGGGCCAGCTGCCTGCCGGGGCAACGGCTCGCAGACGGTTCGGCGGCGCTGGCTGGGCGGCGAGGGAGCCCGCGCGGTCGCTGAGATGCTCTGTTCAGGGCCGTAGCGGTGTGTCGGGCCGGTGATGGCCTGTTCAGCACCACTGAAGACCTGACAAGGACAGATCTGATTTGGGCCCTGATATCAACGCTGCCGCAGTGCGCATCTCAAGCTCTGCACTTGATAGTGGAACATCTGGCCATGTCAACAACGCATGCTGAAACTCGCCAAGAGAAGATGCTCAACGAATGCCAGTGGCTGTTTGATAGGCACAGATCCTCAGCCGGGTGCCGGACGACGCTGACACGTGGATGGTAAGCCCAATTGACGATCAAGCAATGCCGGGCGAACCGCCGCTTGAAGGGCGTCCAAGAGCCAGGCACCGCGGCGCATCGCGTGGCTGTGTGTCGAATGGGCCTTGGGCTGAGTTTTGGTAAGTCTAGAGTCTGGAGTCTGGAGGGAGAAATTGAAGTCTGCCAGTGGGCCCTGCAGAGCCGTATTCCTCGCTCCCGTGCTGCGACCCGAGCGCGACCCATGCGGGCGGCGGCTGTGCTCGGCGCTAGGGCGCTTTGGTCCCATGAAGCAGGTCGACCAATCGAGTTGAAGCTCGACACCGACCTCGACATCAAGTATGCGAATTGGAAAGATATATAATTAGAGAAAGAGCCATCATGCAGCTCTGCGATACTATTCAACTCATTTCTCCGGCTTCATTCAAGTAGCGTCGTTGTTGCTTTCCGATACCCAAATTCCAGTACCCCTGTTAAAGACTGTACGCGTGCCGAGGCCTTCCACTTACACGACGCCTCACTCTCCGTCAACTCCAACGACACACCGTCACACACGGCAAACTCACGCGCGATTCTCACAACTTGCTCACAGTGCGCTGCCAAAATGGCTACCACAATACCGATTCGTTTCGACATCCACCGCAAAGCCTTCGCCTATCACTACTCCATCACCGCACACAACAGCACCACCATGGACTCCCCCCTCTACTACTGCGACGTCAACCGCTTCACCAAGTCATCCACCCCAGACATGGTCCTTCACGCCGGCCCCTCTCCCGCCGCATCCCCCGTCGCCCTCTCCCACATCCTGCAGTTCTCGCAGAGCTTCAAAATCGGCCTCGGCGACGCCGTCCCGCGCCAGGCCACGGACCCGGACGCCGTGCAGTGGGAGGACCTGCGGCGGTCGACAATCACGGGCGCCGAGCACCGCTGGGGCATGTCGCTCGCGGCACGAGGCTCCGAGGCTCGGGATGGCCGCAGGCTTGCGCTGCTGTGGAAGAGGACGCGCAGCGTGCGCGCCGAGGGGGCCGAGGACGGGATCCGCCACCGTGGGTTTCGCGGCTGGAAGCTGCTCGACGAGGAGAGGCCAGGTGAAGTGCTCGCCGTCTTTACCCTGGATCAGGTCTTTGGACGGCGCGGAGTCCTGCAGATCAATGTCGATTATGGGGACGAGTTTACCGTCGCGGTGTTGATGACGCTGCTGACCTTGTATGAGCGGTCCGAGATGCGGTGACGCGGTGTGGACGTCTGGGTGGGTGACGAGGCTTTTCCTGTGCTTGTCAATAAGTTATTGGCAACGACTGTTGCACATATCCGTAGAACCTGATCAGACCAGATACCCGGCAATAGAGCCATATAATTCATTGCAGCCACCACCAGGCATACGCACGTGGATTTGACACCTGTGGTTGTCCAATCGGCCATGACAGACTGTCGCCCACAACGCTGTGTACTTTGAAGGACATCTGTGACAGCCGATATTTGCGATTCGGCGCCTGTGTATATCTGAGGCATCGCGATTCACGTACTAGACCCTCACGGCTCTCATACCGAGCAGAACAAGCACCTTGTCACTCCCTCCGACACCTCAGTATTACCGTGAGTCGTCGCGAGCATAGACTCTCTACTAAGTCCTCTCCCTGCTCCCAAATTCCCGAAGCCCAAGACTACCGACAGGGCACCCTTGCGAACCGTCTCGCGGCACAGCAACTGTCGTCGACGCCCTCACTTGCAAATGTCCATCGTACAAGTCATCGTAGCCATGGACAAATGCTGCTGCACGTACGCTCAACAGATATGTCCGTCTTGTGGTCGACGCGCCAAAGACGTCGCCATCTTTTGTCAGGAGGCGAAGCGCACCGACGTCATGTGCTCGGGTCATAGAATCGTCGACATCCCGGGAGAGCTGTGCCCCCGATGCTCTGGGAAGCGGAATGCCAGCCGGAACACGCCTCACCATTACAGCCATGCGCCAGGCAACGCAGCCACCGTCACGACAGGCGGAAACACCGTCGGCCGTCGCAGGCTATCCCTCACGAACCTGCTAGGCCTTACGTCCAAGGGAAGCCAGTCGAATCTGCAAAAATACGTCAAAAAGCCAGACCTACAAAGCATGGTCGAGCGAGTGTCGTCCCTGGGTACAGGCACCACCACTGCCGCGGCGTGGAGGGCCCAACACCGGGACGCCGATCGCTTCTTATCTACGCGGTACGACTCAGCTGAGATGCCGCCAGATAGGGTCCAGGCTGAAGTAGTGCTGGACTGCGTATCGCTTCCCGATTCGCAGAGCACCATCTGGTTCCCGACCACAGAGCGGATACGTGCCATGCCAGGCCAGCCCGCAACGGTTCCTACAGAAGCGCGTCGGCGGGACACATCGGCCCAGGATTTTCTACCATCGCCACAGATACAGAAGCCCGGAGCTGGACTTGTTACCAGGGTCTCGGCGAGCGGACCTCTGTCCGCGCCACATGCCGACGACATGGTGCAAGGGCGTCAAGAGCATGTCCTTGACAGGCCGCACGATGGATCGCAATTCGACCGGACAGCCGGAACGTCGCTCAGACGCATGCAGTCCGATAGGCGGTCCCTGCTCGGGGGTGAGCCCACTCCACCTGTCCCGGAGCGCAATCCGCGAAGACTTAATGCTGGTACCCTCCAGCGCCGGGATTCCGAAGAAACGACGTGGTCGGCACTCGACCCCAAGCGGCTTTCTGTCCCAGGGTTCAACACGGCTGAGCCTTCCGTGGCTGATGTGCCCTGCCTTGCGATCATCCCTAGGCCAGTCCAACCCTCTATATCGCCATCAACGGCCGGCGAGGTCGGTCTAGACGTTCGGCTGGGTTCGTCGTGCGAGAACAATACTCATTCGAGACCGCGAGGAACGGCAAACGTCGGCCACCATGAGCTTGAGCGCCCAATTCAGGTGAGCCCGCCGCTTCCACTGACGAGATTACCCAGCACCGGACTGGAGAGCACAAAGTTTCCTCACTTGTCTTCGCCAACAACGGACCGGATCCAGCCCCTGAAAGACTCGCAGTCTTCCGCCCGGCGGACGCGGAGGCGGTGCCGCCCTCAAGTTCCGGTTCGCACGACGTCGCGCCGCGCTGCGCCGCCGTCCTGCTCCTCCAGCGTGTACAGCCAGTAGCGAATCGTACAATCCCACATGCGTCGGTCCCCACATGCGATGAAGACTCCAAAGAGACAAAAGACGTTCCCGCGGTCGAGACGTGGATCCGCTCAAACGTGCGTTGGAACAATTGGCGGCGTCGTAGGTCCCTCGTATGTAACGTTGGACAGAACAAGAGGGAAGACGGTCGAAAAGTATGTGGAGAGCTCAAGGCAGTGTCGTGACGTCAATGAGGGCAAAGAGCCGGCGTGGTGGGAGAACGCACGACAGACAGTACCAGGGGAAACCTCGAGCGACTCCACCCCAAAGGTCTGTTAACCAAGGTTGCCCGTTAAGCATGTCGATGCTGGAGCTGGAGGTTAAGTCATGCCACTCCGCCGAGAGAGAGATTCGTATTTGGAGATGGAACCGGCGTACGGCATCACGTATGGGGAGAAATCTGGCCCGCGTGAGCAATCTTGAGGCTTGACAATGGCACGACGAGCCAGACTGTCGGGTCAATCAGCGCCGAAGGCATCGCCTCCGTCCGGTGAGGATGAGGGGCCACCCCAGGGCGGCACAGATGCCGCCTGGCCGGGGTCATTCCGCCCAAACGGTCGAGCGACAGGCAGGCAGATGAATGAAGTGCGCGGCAACGGTGGATCAGCGCCACCAGGAGAGGCCATTCGTCGCGCGGTGCCAGTGCCAGAGTCGACAGAACCACGGGAATTCTGCCAGGTTGACATGTGCGTGTACGAATTCGCGAACGAAAGCTCTTATATTCAGCTCCGGGAAAGGCTTTTGGCGGTCGACAGCGCACAAACCCAGGCTTGACGTGTCGGTGATAGCCTCAAACCATGGTTGGTCGACGGAGAGGCTCCGGTTGGCCAATCAAGCACCCCTGGGACGTGGCTGCGCTGTCAGACCCAGAGCGGTGGTAGCAACGAGGAAACGATCGCGAGAGACGGCGCTCGCGCTTCTGGGCATCGGAACTGCGGGGCAATCGTCTGCCTTGTTGACAAGCCGTGGCCGGGGGATGTGTGACAGTGCCAAGACAGCGCACCCGCTGCGCCCACGGAGCACGGGTAGCGCCGACGTGGAGGGTTGCTGCCCCTCGCCGCACGCAAGACTTCGAAGGGGCACGATGGCAAGGCCGTTTCGTCATGGTGGCGTGTTGGCAGCCAGGGCAGAGTGAGAGTGTACCTGTCATTGCATCACTTTCTCGTAACGATTGCCGCGAGGCTGCTCCTGATGCTTCCCCCCGACATCCGTCTGGAATTTTTTTCCCTTCGGCTCGTGCCTTGGTGCTTGAATGGCGTGGGGGCAACCGCAAGGGGGGCCAGGACAAGAGGGGTATCGGAAGACTTGTGGCCTTTGCACGCGGGCCCGGCATAAACATGTCTCGAACTCTATCTTGCCGCGGCGCGTCTCGCTGCCTTGTACCCGACGTGGTTTCCGCGCCCGTTGCATGGCGAGGTCAGGCGTGCAGCACTCGTTCACTGCCGGCCGTCTGAACTTGCGCAGACCCGCGCCGCGCTTAACGAGCGTCGTCTGCAAACTGTCTGAGTTCCAGGGCCTGACCAGGAGGCACGCAGATCTCGCCGGGTGCTGAAGCCGGGTGATTCCACAGTGGCCAGCAACGGGCCCGCCGTGCTGATGATGAAGCCTCCGCGGCCGCTCGATCGCGTGCAGCTTTGGACGTTGCCGCTTTGCACGACGATTCAGCACTCGTCCCGACATGGCCTTGATGGCGTACGCCACCCATCCGCCACGCCACGTACACCAAGTCTGGCTGCTGGGATGACCAGGAGTTAGCTTGGGCAGCTTGGTGGGTCGTGGGGCTGTGGCGCGTCGGGACCCTGACTTCAGTCGGAGGAGTGCCGCTGCAAATGTGTCACCTCGGTCGATGGCATCTTCATGGGCAACGGCTCCCGCTGCCCACGGCGAGCCCACCCCACTCCGCGCCGGGTTCGCCAGCGGCGAGGTAGTACTAGTACCCCGTGGGTGCGGCCGATCCTCAGAAGCTTGTCGGTCGCCGAGAGAAGGAGCAGCATTTGTCCCCGACAAGCATTGCCCCCCCCGAACGGCCCGTCTCGCGTCAACGCAAGTGACCCGGACATAAAATGGCCTAGCTGCAGCTGTGGCTGGGGGGTCGGGCGTGCATACCGCGCCGGGGGGAGCTTGGCGAGGGCGAGCCGGACCTGGATCTTGGCCGGCTGATAAATGTACTTTTCCCAAGTTCGCATCGCACGGTGTGCCAGCCACGCGTCGGCCCGTCAATTGGCGAGTTCGAGACGGCAATCGTTGCCCTCGTGGCCTCGCCTCCGTGGCAAGGGGTCTGCGGGAGGCGATTCGCAAACGTCTCCTCCTGTAACCCAATCGTCGGCCCGGGACTCGTGGCTCTGCCAGAGGAGGAGATGGTCCTTGGTGTTCTAGAAAAGCGGAACCTGGCATCTTTCCGTAAGCGCCGCCTCGCCGCTCCCCGCCTATCACAGGGATCGTGGAGCTTTTGCTCCGGAGCTCACTCACTTGGCCACCCAATTCGAATTTGATCAGACCCTTTTGCCCGTCCAGCATCTCGTGGTATGCGGGTTCTTCGAGATTTATCAGGTAGACATGGCTCCTCTCGCTTCTCCGCCGCTGTCGTTCCTTGACTGGCCGTGTCTGCCTGTTTCGCCCCAGTCCCAGTCCCAGTCCCAGTCCCCAAGCCGAACCAGAGGACCAGTCGCTCCGACCCAGGCCCCTTTTACTGGTCGCCGACGACTCGTTGCTGCTCGCAGGTGCTCTCCGTCGACGGGCCCAGTGGTCGGGTGTGAGCTCCGGCCCAGGGTCAGGAGCGTGGCAAACCGTCCGCGGTGCGTCTTTCCTCTGCTCCCGTATGGACATAGCTCCAGCACAGAATTTGGCGCCCTTATTAAGACCTGCCCTGGTCGGTCAGTGCAACCTCTGCTCGCCAGCACGGAAAGTCGGAAGCTTTTGACTTCCTGCCCACCGCGGTCAATTCTGCCCGCGTCTCGTCGACTTCTCGCGCCGAGCCGCCACAGACGGACCACCACCACAGCCACCCGCCCACCAAACCACCACACAACCGCATCTCATCCTCGCCTACCTACCAATGCCACCGCCCGCAGAAACGCCCGTCTTCGTCCATGAGATTTCTTAGCACTCGATACGTCCGAACCACCCGGTGAAGGGAGGCTTCATTCACGTTAAATGTGCACGGAGCATACGGCTGAATGCCCAGTCTGCGGGAAGGAATATCTCGTCTATGTTGCATTTTGCCACGACTTTCACCCACCGTTCGTTGTCTGTCCAAACGGCACCGTCATTGCCCGGGAGAACATGCGTGAGGGACAGTGTCCGAGTCCGGTCTGTCCAAATAGTTTGCGCGGCGGCTGTCAGGTAATGTGAAAAAAATCGTTGCAGACGGATTTCCTCCAAAAGGCATTCCTGGAGACGCAGAATATACCGCGGCCACGGCGACGACGGCGACGGCCCTTTGCAGCTTCACAGTCTCTCGCCACCCGTGGGCACTTCAACCACTTGGTCGACGCCTTCATACACGGGAATGCTAAAGCCATACTTATTGGCCATGGATGGCGAAACGAATCTGCTCGCGAGGTTAGTCAAGAGTCGAAGCTGGTTTCGAGGGACACGTACCGGCCGCCAATGAAATGACGACCCTTGAAGTACTTGACGAGTGGCTTTGGGGCGGTCAAGCTGACGAGCGCGGTAGGCATGAAGGAGCTGCCCAGACCGGAGCTTGGCGGGCCATTCTCAATATCCCACGACGACGGAGCATCCACGGAGGTGACGGAAAGCTTTGTCTCTTGCAGAGCCTTGATCACCGCGGGAAACGGCTCCCGGACCTCTCCCGAGAAGCTGAATCCTGTCACTCACGGTCAGTGTGCAGGCGTTTCGCCTCGGAAGGGCATCACCAACCGAATATGGCGTCAACGATGTGATCGGTCTGCCCCAACGCCGTCTGAAAGTCATCCACGAAGGGGACCTCGAGGTCTTCGAGCTGTTTTGCCAGACGCTGCCAACGCGTCAGTACGGGCTTTGGGATAGCATGGGCTCTGGAAAGCGGGGCGTTGAGGGGACAAGGAATAAGGAATAAAAAGGGATTAAGTGCAGAGACACCGACTTGAGACACGGGCATGGAAGCAACATCCTGGTGCCGATACCTTACGACTAATGCCTCCACTCACCGATACCCCGAGTAGACGAGATACAGCGGATAGACACCAAAAGGAAAATCAAGGTTCAAACTTGCAGGGGCGAACAGTGACCCGGTCGTCTGGGGAAAGACTGAGCAACGGTGGAGACTAGACGTGCTTACTTGGTACAGCTCATTCTTGCTCCGCTTGGGGTAGAAGATGGAGGGTTGGTATCCGTAGTAGAAGAGATGGCGAGCCGCGACGAGGCCATCACCGCCTACGCCGCCGGCGCCAGTCAGTCTTGGTCCGGGCCACAGCTCGCCCGATGCCGGTGCTCACCGTTGTTCCCGGGTCCGCAAGCCACAAGAACTCGTCGCCCCTTGTTCAGTGGGTGGACGCGATATACTGTTATCCGTCAGCAGCTGTACAGCTGTGCCAGGGGGTTCGGTCCCAATTCGGCTACGTACCTGCCTGTGAAACGGACAGTCCCGCCAGTTCCATGAGCTGGTCAATGGAAAACGCGCAAGTGCTCATCAGCTCCTGATCCAAGGCCGCCGCTGCCTTTGCACCAAGTGTCTATCACCGTCAGTAAGTCTACTGCTCTATCCATGTTGCGTGGGTTGGCGGGTCCGCCCCATGCCGCTTAGACCGGCCGTCAGGACGCCAGCTCCTATGCAAGCTCACCTTGATTGCCATTGTTGCAACGGCGTAGCGTGTTTGAAGACAGAGACTCTGGATGGGATTAGAGGTTCGGGTGCGTATCAACGATGTGATATTGAGGTGGAAGCTTTGTAGGAAACTGGAATGCCGGGTGCGGCGATGACCATGAGACCGACTTCTGATGTCACTGGAGCGCACCTTCCCTAGACGCAGCGCCATGTCGCCAGTGATTGGTCGGCGCGGCAAAACCCACCTCCGACCAATTTTCCACCAACTTCACCACGCGCATCACCAAACCACCTGCCAGGCACACCTCGTCGTCTGGCCATCAGGATTGCGCAGAGGGCAATTGACCATGGTCGTCAAGATCCGCCTCGCCCGCTTCGGGCGCAGAAACTCGCCCTTCTACAACATCGTCGTCGCGCACGCCCGGTACACTCCCGCCCTACCCCTTTCCTCCGCATTCGTCGACCCACGCGCTAACTTCAATGCAGCACGGCGCGCAACTCCCGCCCGCTCGAGGTCCTCGGCACGTACGACCCCGTCCCCAAGCCCGACCCCTACGACAGCTCCGGCGCTCTGCACAAGGACATCAAGCTCGACACTCAACGCGCGCGATACTGGATCGGCGTCGGCGCCCAGCCTACCGACACGGCCTGGAGGCTGCTCTCGATGGTGGGCATCTTGCCCAAGAAGATCTTCGGTCCCAAGGAGAACAAAAAGACTGGCGAAGTGCAGGCAAGCGAGGTTCGCATTCGATGAACAGCGAGTTGAGGGGCAACTGGAGCGAAATGTATGATACGTGTGTTACATGAGCATTCGTGGCGTTTTTGGATGGGACTTGGGCTTCAACAACGGCCTCAATATTTGCCGCGTTGGCCGTTGGCGCATATTCCGTGGCAATGGCAGCAGAGTCCGACGGGAACTTTGAGATTGCCGTCTAGGACGGTACTTGCAGTCGGACAGGCGAGAAGGTCAAGCAAAGACACAGAGACGAATGTAGCTTAAGCGCTTCGATATACCACCACGGACCGTGGGTATCTCCTTCTAATGACCTCCGGGCTTGCTTCCTTGCCCATGTATCCAATCACGAGAGCGGCATTGCCGCAGCCTCGTAGCGTTTCGTACCAACCCTATGATGTGAAAACCCGAAGAAGAACTAACCACTCTGAAATGCAACCAAACAAAAGTCCGTTGCCGCTGCCGCACAACCGTGACTGCGACAGGGCTTTTGTCGTGTTCGCGACCAAAATAAAGCCATTGCTTAATGAGCGACGGCGAAGAAGATGTTCATGATCAGGCACACGGCCATGACGATGATGCCATAGATGGCCAAAGAAAGGGCCAGCTTCCGAACGAGACCGTGGTCGAGGTGCTCCAGATCCCATCGCCACTTCTTCCTCCAGCGCCACTGGCTACGAGGAGTCGCGCCGGTGGTGCTTTCTGGTAGGCTCCCGGTGCTCTGACCAAGTATACCTCCTGTTTCTTCTGGGTCCGAGTCACCTTCGTCGTCTATGTCGTCATCGGCCTTTAGCAGTCGTTGATGATGGACGCTTTCTGGGTCGCTGATTTTGTAATAGAACAAGCCAGGAAGAATGAAGCTGATGGACGTCGAACCAGTGCTGCCGACGAAAGCAAGGACTCGATCAAGACTGCTTACAGATAGCGCAGTAAAGTAGGCAAAGGTCAAAATGACAGTGGTAAGGAGGGCAAAGCGAGTGTCTGACATGGGCACAGTCGTCCCATGATCGCCTCGTGGCGCCGACGCAGCGTTCAGCAAGGGCGAGCCTGGACGACCGCTTCCAGAGTTGTTGCGGCCAGGCCGCCATTTGACAACAGCATCCAGAGAGGCGCGGCATGGATGGACTTGGAGTGGGATCGAGAAGAGGACAAGGATAACGATGGCCGCCTTGCCTATGGTTGAAGCGGCGCCAGTAGGGTCTGCGCAATGTCAGTAGGTAGCTCACGTGGGCAGACTATGTCAAGTCCTTACACATGGATACAATATTGCCAACAATTGCATTGCCAAACGTGATGTAGCCAGTGATTGCCACTACAAGGTAAATGCAAGCGGCAGAGCCGATGCTGGAGGTAACGACTCGCACCATGCTTGCGGGCGAGTTGTTCTTGATCTCGTTGATGATGGAGAACATCTAAAGGCGTTTAGCGGTTGTATGCCAGGGGACAGCTTGGTCGACATACATTCTGGTGGCAGGTATAAGCGAACACGACGACCGGGAGCGCACTTAGCGTCTCCACGGCTCCCGCCCACTTGATGACTCGGATGTCACTCGGATCGGCGTGAGGGTCGGCAGCAAAGTGGTAGATAACCAGGACGATTAAATAGCCAATTGACACCAAGGCCACGATGCTGGTGTACTTGAGCGAGTCCAGTCTGCGCAGGAAACTCAAAGGGATAACCAGGAGCATGAAGGCGGTGATCCAAAAATGCCGGTCGACGAGGTACGGAATATCGGCCGCGCGATCGTTGAAGCCGAGCATGACTCCAGGCATCAGGTCGCCGATGATGATCATGTACGACACGCCCACGCCGAAGCACTTGACGGCGATGGCGAGGTCGAATATTACGGAAGCGTTGGGATATGTTATTTGCGACAGGGCGAAGAACGACGAGGTGCCGCGGTCGAGGTAGCGAGCGCACTTGGATTGAAGGTAGAGTCCGAAGGCGGCCGTCACGCCAGACCATAATATCAGGACGACACCGAGCATGATGCCCATGTGCGATAGCACCGAAGGCATGGCCAGAGTGCCGGCGCCGACAACTGCGCAGCGGTTAGCAGGTAATTCTTGTGTCGCTCGAGGGGGTCGTCCGCACTCGTGTTCAGCAGGTTGACGATGCTGCTAATGGTCGTCGCCTGGCCCCCGTGGCCGCCATCCTTGCCGCCTCGTCGCCGTGTCCTGCAGCCCTTTGTGTCAGCGTATGATGGCCTGGGGTTCGCGCGCGGCAGGGCTCACCTCGACATGTCGCGGGCGCCTCCAGAAGAGGCGTTGTTACCATCCGTGATGGTCGAGTAGGTCGTCATAGCAGACGGCGAAGTTTGCAGAGCTGCGCGGCACCGTGCCGCAGTCTGCGCTCACACGTGTCTCAAATCGTGGCAGACGGGACCCAGCGACGGACAATCTCAGGCCAAGGGTCTCTCTCCTTGTCGGTCATGCGCCGGTCCACCAAAAAGCGACCGTCCTGCGGCGCGGCGACAGATAACGAGGCGGATCCGCTGGAGCCAAGAGACCCGCAGGGGAGCGCAGAGCGAGGGCCGGAAACGAATGCGCGACAGAGGCCGTCCGGAGCGTGGGAGCGACTGGTAGCGGAAGGGCCTCTGGGTGAGGAATGCTGGGGGTCGTGGTGGTGAAGTGTCGAGAGTGAGGACAGATGGGATTGACGTTGCTAGCGATCATGAGGATTGGTCACTGGAGGCGCCACCTGGCCGGGTTTAGCGGGAGGCGGCCCCCGAAACTCGGCTGGCAGCGGTGGCATCCACTGTACTACGCATACGGATCTAATTTGCCGACCAATCAACTCGCAGCGGCCCTGCCGTGTTTCCTCCAGCGGCAGTGGACGTCTCCAGCGGCATGGCATGGGTGCCAGCCGCCGCCTGCGGAGTGTTGGAGGGTCGCGTCGCTGTCCCACCTCCACGTCCGTCTTGCAACATCCAGGCACGCCATTGCGACACGCGAGCTGCAGCTCCATCGACGACGTCTGCTGCTCGCCATCCCAACCGCAACGCCCAAGTGCACGGCGTCATGGATGGCACCTTGGACAAGACGAGTCTGTCCACCATCTCGCTTCTAGAGTCCCGTCTGCTGCGCATCGAGCACCTCCTGTACGGACCCACGGCCTCTCACCCCCCGCCTGCCCACCATGAATCTGCAGCACGAAGATTGGACGAGCTAGAGAGGCGCTTCTCCATGCTATCTTCTCGCGTGCGCGTATACGGCGAGCTGCTCAAGATCTGTAAGTTGTCGTCTGCTTGATCACGAGTCGTAGCCCTGACAATTGCGCAGACAAGACGCATCCCGACTTCTTCCACGCGCCCGCCCCCTCCGTGCCTCCGTCACAACTCTCTATTGACGCCATCCAATCCATCGTCCTCGCCTCCGCGTCCTCGTTCCCCGCGATACTCTCGTCTCTGACGGCAGTCAAGGACAGCCCGATACCGGATCCCTCCGAGAGCGCATCCCTGATATCCAAGGCGGAGCGCATGAAGGCCATCGAGGCAACACAGCTGGCGCAGGCCACAGACATTGCAGAGCTTCGCCGACGAAGCGAGGCCATCATGCGGGCCTGGTACGAAGGCAATGTGCTTGCCAACTCGCAGGTAATGGCCGACGTGGAGAGTCGTGTTGAGAAGGTCGAACGGCTGGTCAGGAGAAGGGAGCGAGAAATCCTAGAAGCCAAGCAAGTATGAGGCTTGCAACTGGCTCGCGGGATTGCTGTCACAGTTGCCAATGGTATGACTAGATGACGGCGCGAAGTTGCTTTCAGCAAGACGGTGGGAGCGTTGGGACTGCATTTCAGTTCACCGACAGCCTTGACACATGTGGTCTCTCGCCCAGAGACGTATGATACCCATTTACCATTGCAGTGGTAAACTCAGCAAAATTGAATCTTTACTTATAGCCACGGCAACGCTGATTGCCGTTCTTCATTACATGTTTCACCATGAATTTGCTCGTGTCGCGCTCGTACAGTCGGTAACATCATTGTCCCCCAAGCACTACGGTCCTATCAATGCGGCTTGCCGGCTTACACGTCGAGGCCCTTCGTCCTCAGGTCATCAAACAACTTCTCATGGAATGCCCCCATCGCTGGCATATGCACCGATCCAGGCTTGGGCGGTGGCGCGTTGAACATGGGCACAACCCTCGTCTCCCCCGGCGTCACCTCCAATATGGTGCCGTTACCATACTCGTCCTTGACTACAAGCTCAAACATGGCCTGGACAATCTCCTCGACGGTGAGCCATCTGCAGCCCTGCAGAATCTCGTCCGCCCTGCCAGGGTCTTGGTACCATATTCCCGTCTGCAACAGTCTCGGATCAGCGTCGACTCATCGTGGGGCGCACAGCCGGAGGCGCAAGGAAAACATACATTCGCCGGGCCCGGCGCTACGCAACTGACTCGGATACCAAGCTCGTCTCTCAAATCCCCCAGCGACCTCACGAAGCCATGCAGTCCGTGCTTGCTCGCAAAGTACAGCGGGCTCGCCGCCTCGGCCAGGTAGCCCGCCACACTCCCGACGTGTACAATGCACCCCTTTTCCTTTCTCTTGGTCCAGTGCCCTATGGCCAGCTGGCTCATACGGATCGGCGCCACGAGATTCACGTCGAGGACGGCGTAGTGCCCAAATTCGCCGTCGGCCTTGTCGCGAGATGCCGAGTCCGGGTTCGTCGCCGTGCGCGGCGGCTGCCAGAAGCTGGACCACGGCGGGTCGTACAGTCCCGCGCCGGGGACGACGATGTCGAGGGTTGGAAAGGCAGCGAGCGCAGCGTCGAAAAGCGATGAGAGTTGCGGCCAGGAGGTGACGTCCGTCTGATGGAACACGACGGATGGGATGCCGCGAGCAGCCGGCGGATGAGGATACGACTTTAGGAGCGCCTCGGCTTCGGCGCCGAGCTTGAGGTCGCCGATGATGACGGAGCAGCCTTTTTGGAGGAGGCGTCGGGCAAAGGCCAAACTGATGCCTGTAGACGCGGCGACGCACCCGTTAGCACGTCAGTCGTGTAAAGCCCACCCCGAAACGGGACGGCACGAATGCAGTTGCTTGCTTTATCTGTCTGCTTGTTTACCTGAGCCGGCGCCCGTGACGAGAGCATGCTTGCCCTCAACCGAGAGAGCCATTGCAGCCGATGGAGGAGGTCCTTGAGCATTGGGAAGGGTCGAATGCGACGTGCGCGCGGTTTGCAGACGAGGCGATGTCCGGGAGAGTCTCGCTGCTATGGAGAGTCCATCGCTGCATCGCCATCGGGTCGCTTGTACAGCATCCCATCTGGCTTACAATCCGCATGTGAATAAGCCGCGACGTATGAGTAAGACGCTCCAACACGGCACCATTAATGCGCACTGCGGTTTCGCGGATGCATCTCTTCCTATTTCGCATATAGAATATGGCTATCTATGTGCATTGCGCAATGCAACGCTGCTTCTCAATGGCGGCACCTGTCGGTGTGATGATGCTCGTCGTGATCCCCTCAAGCGTGCGGTGATACCACTCTCACTCCAGGATATCGGAAAGCCCCAGTAACGAAACGGTCCCAATGAGGAAGAATGCGCATCCTACGTCATATACCTCCTGTTTCACAAAACGTTGGATTGCGTAGATGTGCGATGGGAATGACGTTAATCGTGGCCCGAGGAGGAGGTGGCAGCTGGCGAACCAGCTCCCGAGACTCAGGTTTCAGGCTCCCCATCCGCGTTTCTGCCACCCGCCATGGCACGTACGGAGTCGCTTGTCCGTTCGGAATTGAAACGCAACTACACGTGTACAGGCCGCAAGTTTTCTCTGCAGTGTCAATCCGTACCCGCGGGGCGGACTGACGGCGGCTGACCGCTGGCAGGCTGCGGCCCATCGAGATTACGCGGGCAATCATCACAACCTTGACTCCGCGGCATCTCCGTGCAGAAGTCGGAACATCACTGTCCTGAAGGTATCCGCCGGCCGCAAAGGTGCCGGCGACAGGAGTCGCGTCAGCCCCTAGGCGCCTGATGCCATGGAACTTTGGGACGGGATTAAGTGTATCCAACAAGTCGGCACAACAGAAGCAAGCCAGCGCACCTACGTATATCGACTCGGTTTTCTCGCTTGTCTGAGTTGTCCTAGCATGGTGTGGAAAGCGGTACTATTGTCAAACCATTCAGCCTCGTGGTCCGGCGCACGTCCCGGATGATCTGCAGCGATAAAGATCATAAGAGCCGCGCAGTATAGCCTCATCAGACTTCGCGGTCGGTCCCCTCGGAAGTCTGAGAGTATGTCGAGCTCAACAACGTCGACACATGACTACCTGCCCATGGACAGGGCTGTCCTCCGTCCAATAGTCTCGTAGCAACTTTCCAGCGAAGCAGGTTATCGCACTTTTCCAAGTACAGATAGGAGTTAGCCCCAGAGCCCGCGGCCGTGCGCTCGGAGAAAAACGCCATGCCTCGGCGGGTTGCAGCTGTCGTCCCACCTTGTTGTCTCTTGTGAGCATCATGAGCGTCATCCTGGCCTGACCTCAAAGCATATTTGTCGATGTGGAACTGGTTTCTTGGAGGCTGTGCCAGTGGAGAGCAAGGTGCTTGCCATTGAGTCACCTGTTTATCCAACGGCTTTTGCCATGCTGGAGACGTGTCTGAGCGCCGCCACGAATGCAACTGTGCGTGGTTCAGTCACCCGAATCGCCTGTTTACCAGCTCCATCAGCCGCGACTCGATAGTCGCTGCGTGGTTCGAGCCACGTTGGGCGGCAGCTAAGACAGCCACCAAAAGTGTCGCGACATGTCGAAAGCCGACGACGACATCAACAACATCACCAGGCGCTACTCGACGTGAATCTCTCATGAAACCGGTACATAAATGTGCCGAGCAAAAGCAGTTCGTCCCATGCAGGCGGCGGCCAGGCCGGCAGCCCGTACCCCAAGGATCATTTCGTGCTGCGCCACGAGCAAGAGTCGGAGTTTGGCCGCGGAGCGTGGAATGGAATCCCAAGCGATGGGCGACCTTGGCACTGAGAGCAAGGGGGGTTACGAGCACAGTGCGGCCAGGGCCGGCTGGAGCGGAAGATGTGCAATACGGGCAGGACGGCTGGCAGGGGTCGGCACGGAGAGGGGCGCGCGTTTCAACTCCGGGACGGCTTCCTGAATCTGGGGAGCAAGAGCGGATCTGGGGCTTCAAGCAGCGCGAATACGTAGTACAGTGCTCCGGCTCTGGTCGTACGAGAGCCAGCATCGTAGGTATGGACCTTTGATTACGACAACAGTCTCTCAACAGAGCGCGCGAATGCTTCGATGGGCTTGCTTCGGAAGGTGCCAACGAAAAAAGGAGTTCGTAGCCAAGAGTCGTCGGTCCTCGTCCACGACTCATCAACCGGAGTCCGGGAGCATCATAACACATCGGGCGTTGCCCATCGCAGCACCGACCTGAAGCACGCGTCGGCCACTGCGGCTCGCGGTGGAAGAAGCAACCGGCGACGGCTGGTCGGGCGACCGTGACGCCGTCGTGAAACGGCGACGACGGCACGGGGAGCGTTGGCGCCGCGTCAGGCCGCATCCGTCGGCAGGGCGAGCGAGCGCTCGCGCGGTCAAGGACTCCTCAGTTCGATTCAGGGAGACTGCCGGCGAGCGACTCGTTGCGAATGGTACGTGCGACGTGAGGCAAGAGTCGGCCAACGTCGGCGTCGCGTGACAGGTGCAGGATGCAAGCTGCAAGGAGATGGATGGACAGCAGCGGCAGCAGCAGCAGCAGCAGCAGCTGAGCCGCTGGTTGTGGTGGTGGTGAGTCCACGAACGAGTGAGGCCCCCAAGATGGGCTCGCACAAGCTCAAACGCCATGCGGGCGTCGATTTCGTCGATTGGCCGGCCGCGAGTGTGACAATCGTCGAAGAATCAGAGACAGGACGCGCAGGCGTTCCGTCGAGCGTCGACATCTGCAAGGCCCGTGGTCTTGAAACGCCGTGGTGGGGATGGTGACCCCTGTCGCGGAGACGCAGGGGCCAGTGCCAGTGCCAGTGTCCTGGCGGGCAGCGCAGCGTGGGTGTGCCCGGCTCGCAGCAGCCCAGGCCGCTGGCCGCGGACACGGCCAATCAGGACCGAGAAATCGCGCCTTGGGCGGGTACCGGCCTCCCCTGAAAGGCCCCACCTCGCGGTGGGTGGGCTGGCTTGGCTGGCCTGGGTGGGCGGCATGGCATGGCATGGCATGGCCAGGGCACCCGCGTCGCCCGTGGGCCAGCGGCCACCTGGCCCTCCACTCCATTGTCGATTCAATTCGGTTCGACGGCGCCTTGCACGTCCTTGTTCCTGGCGCACACGGTGCGACGACGACTGGAGCTGGCCGCAGGCAATCGCGCAACATTAGGTTGCGACCATGCTTGTGCGCGACCGCCGTGCGCATCCCATCCCATCCCATCCCATCCCATCCCATGGGTGGTGGGTGTCGTGCGCATCGACATCGTCGCCACGGCCTGGGCTGGGCTGGTGGAAAGCTCCAGGGTCGCAGGCGGGCACGCCAGGCACCTCATCAGAGGGCCGCGCTGAATTGCGTGTGCCGGCATTGAATGAATGGACGGACGCGCTGTTGAGCGCAAGTGCATTCCGCCGCGTGGCGCGTCAGCGGACACCGGCCTGCCCGTCCATGGCCCGCCACCGCCAACACCTCGCCTCCAGGCCTGCTCCTGAGGTACTGACGTTACTGACTGATCAAGCAGCGCCGGTCGCTGGGCGTCCCCTCCATTCCATTCCGTGCGTCGCAGCCCATCGCCGTGTGCCGTGCCTCCGTCGCCAACCACCACCACTCATCCGCGACGCCGACCAAAGGAGTGAGCGATGCCACCTGCTGTCACTTTGTGATTTGCACTAGTACAATTGACTCGTCTGCCCGTCTTTGTTCTCCTTCTTCTCGTTCCTCTGCTTCTGTTGTTTCTTCCCTTCTTCCTTCCTCTCTCCTCGTCCTCCCCACCCCCAGCTACACCACCATCATAGGCGCCTGCGCCCAGGTAATAAAGCATCCTCGCCTGGAAGGATACACGCATTTCGCTGCAATCTTACATCCGGCAAACAAACGCCCTACAATACGGCCTGCTAAAGCCTCCCGCAATCAGCCACCCCCTGTCAGCACATCCGCCGAGCGAGTCGCCAACCTTGCCATCCCCCGACCGCCACGCCGCTGTGCGCCACGATCCCAGCTGCGGGCGCCCATCAATCTCACCACTTCCTCGTTCGCGCACTCGTGAGGACTCCCGCCCTGGTCGCCGAAGGCCCTTTTCATTTCCAGCGCTTTCACCAAGAAACCTGGAACCTCAGCGCACAAAGCGTCCACTGTTCACCCACCACCACCATCTTCAGCAACACACACGCGCACGAGGACCCCGAGCGCTGACACCGGGCTCGGCTCGTCACGTCTCCGGCAACCGAAGCAAGCAGCTGCGAGTGCTTGTACGTTTGGCTCCCTGACAGTAACAAACGCTACCTCTTCGCCGTCTGGTTGGCTCGCCGCGCTCCATCTCTCCGTCTCCCTCTATCCAGGCTCCGCCGGCTGCCGCCACTCGCAAGGTACATCACCTTTTAGGCGGTTCCCAAGTCGCCCACAGTGCTTACCCAGTGCTGCACCAGCGCCAAAAAAAGACATACGCCGCCCGCCCACCCAGCGCACCCCCGCCGACACCCACTGGCATCCCGCAGCCACACACGCGCTACTTTGGCACCAACTCAACGCTCGTCTCCTGTCCCGACCGGCTTTCTCCATCTCTGGTTTTTCGTCCTCTCCTCCTGCTCTCCTTCCTTTCCCTCCGGCTCCATTTCTCTCCTCCGCCCGGGCACCTCTCGCAGCCGCGCAACACCACCTTTCGACGGTTCGATCCTCGCCAAACCCGCCGGCGCTGTCACTCTTTTTCGCCGCCTTTCTTTTTCAATCCGCCTTCATATTCGGCTGCGCCGGATCAAACTCGTCGAAATCTACGTGGCTGGAACCTTGGCCAAGGCGATCGACCACCACCAACGGAAATTGTCTCTCCAACCGCCGACGACAACGGCACCGATTGGCGCCGTCTCCCCGCCTGCCTCGCGCCGTCCATCAACGCTCATCCCCCGCGTCGGCGACGCCTAAGACATCGAAACCATCTTCCTTATGCCCCCCTACGGCTCACTGCGCTCCCCGTCCCTCAGGAAAATGGAACATTCGCGGTCCTACGGTCGCAAGGGCGTCCAGCTGGGCAACATCCTCGGCGACCCCTTTGCCCTGGCCACCATCTCCATCTCTCTCGTACGTCAAAGTCGACCTTGAGCGTCGTGTGCATGGCTGCGATGCAATCCTGCTGTAGTAACTGGCTAACCCCGTCAATCGCAGCTTGCGTGGTTCATCACCTTCATCTCCTGCATCGTTTCGCAAATACAAGCCACCCCCGACGACAAGTTTCCCACTTTTGCCTGGTGGGCCGTCGTTTACAGTCTATTCCTCATCATCGGAGTCTTTGTCGTTGTCGCGAGCGACGCTGTTCACACCTACCATGTCGCCGTGACTGGTTATCTTTCCGGCGGTATGGTTCTGGTCACATCCTCCGTCAATTCGCTCGTCTACTCCAAGAGCGGCGCCAGGGAGGCTGCTGCCGCAGGCTTCATCCTTCTGTCCATGGTGGTGGTATGTGTCAATCTCCAGGGACTCGGACGGTCCGCCGTTGTTAACCACGACTTGTAGATCGTCTGGATCTTCTACTTTGGCTCGACGCCATCATCAACACCACGCGCATTCCTCGACTCCTTTGCTCTTGCCAAGGAGTCTAGTACCAGCCACGGCCAGGCCATGAACGGCTACGGTGGCACCGGCCGCCCCGAAACCTCCAACTCCGTCCAGCCGCCCCAAATGTACACCTCGGCGCAGCTGAACGGATTCGAGAACCCGTCGCCCGTTGGCGGCGCCTCCCAGGCGAACGGCGGGCGCACCTCCGCCATTCCATCCGCCTTCGGCAACACGAGCTTGCCTCAGTCGCAGCCGACGACCAAGCCCGATGCCGAAGTCGTTCCCCCGACGGAGTACCCCTACAGAGCAAAGGCAATCTACAGCTACGAAGCCAACCCCGACGACGCCAACGAGATCTCATTCTCGAAGCACGAGATCCTCGAGGTCTCGGACGTCAGCGGACGGTGGTGGCAGGCGCGGAAAGAAAGCGGCGAGACCGGAATTGCGCCCAGCAACTACCTCATCCTGTTATGAGATACGACATAGAGATACCGCGCTGGGTGCGCTTCTGCGTCACGAGTCAACCACCGGGGAGCCACTTGGTTCCACCACACCTTCGACTCGCCGACATTGTTCTTTCTTCTCGCCTCTTTTAACGCCTTAGAGTCACGACTCCGGGAAATCATATCCTGTTCTGCGCGAATCGGGTTTTGGGACATGTATTGGATGGAGTACATTGGGACGAGACTACCGCCACGACCGGCCATCGATGCCGGCATACGCCTTGTGTTATTTTTTCTTGTTCGCGCATCCTTTCGCTTCTTCGCGGGGCCAACCTCACTCACTAGAGGGGTTCCCGATTGTTTCTCTACATTGCCAATGTTTGTTTTCTGTCCACACACACACAAGGCCTCCGCCTACAACCATGCGAGAGACGAGGGCTTTGAACCCCCAGCATTGAGAAGGATTGGACGATATTGCCGGCCACAAAATGGCACGGATGGGCAAATGTTTGACAGTGTCGGTCTACAAGAGAAGAGAGACTGGCGAACAACGCGGGAGGAGGATCGGCTTCGGGCGCTACATGGAATGGTTGGCGACGGAGGGACCCTCCACGAGTCCTGCGGCGGTACATAGTTGATGCCAGAAATGAAGATGGACTGAAATGACATGACCGCGAGTCGAGGAAGCTCGCCTCCATGTGACGTTCGCAGCTGCGCAGTGAAATCGCATGACATCTACATCGAGGAATTATGGTAGGCATGGCCAAGACACTGTGTCTCCCAAGGCAAACGTCATTGTTCTATCTATTTCCATATCGAGGTCGACGTGCTGGCCAGCCGCGAGGCTCGGGCTACTCGGCTGCCTGCACATGGGGACCCCATTCGCCCGGCCCATCGGCCCCAAGGCATGTGAGACCCTCCACAAGGGCGCACCGGGGGGAGGCTGGGCTTCGTTGGGGAAGCGTGGGAGGGATGGATGGCTGGACAAGCGCGTGCGTGGCCGGCCTGAGCGGCGATCAGCCCAATTTGCGGACCTTGCATACCAGCGCGGCACGGCGCTCTGCCAGCCGCGAGCACTCAGCTCAGGGCAAGGGCGGCCGAGCATCGGCAGTCCGGCGGCGTCGGGGCTTCGGGCGCCTCGAGCTCTGCGCTTAGGCTCCTGTTTCGGAGGCCTGCGGCGGCGGCTGCTTAGCCTAGCTCGTGGAAAGAACCGGTTCATCTCTCAGTTGGCGGTTGGTACTGTAGCTGTAGAGCCAAGAAGAGTCATGTTTCCGGCGTAACACCTCATCCGTCGAGTCGTTTCCTTAGCTCCCTCTCCTTCTGCAGCACCTCGAGCTCGAGTCTCTCGACGCCGTAGCGCAACGCTTCCTTTCTCTGCTTCACGGCCCTGGCGCGGAGCTTGTCCTCGCCGCTGAGCCTCTTGCCTTTGGCGCGGTCCTTCGCAGGTGTGGGGGCGTCGGGCCGGGAGAGGCGGCCCTGTTGCAGCTCAGCGCGGGCCTTGAGCGTCTCGATGCGCCGATCTTGCCGCTCAATCTGCGAGTCGGCACGGGAGAGGAGCAGCGCGACGTAGGGGCCGATCTCGTCTCTTAAGGAAGCCTCGGCAGCGGCAAGTGTGGGTTGGGGGATGAGCTCGTAGTGCTGCGATAGAAGACGGATGTCAGTAAATGTATAGACATTGCGTCTCTTGAAATACAAACATATGTGGGGAGGAAGGGGGTTGGGAAATAGAGGTGATAGAGGATTATGCATACCCGTACGGACTTGAGCACATTTATGAGGCGAGGAAAGTCGGAGACGCCATCGTCGAGAGTCTGGACGGAGGACTCGAGGAACTGAAGGGAGGTGCGGAGCGAGCTGACGCAGTCCGCATAGGAGGCGCTGGAGGACGAGGTAAATGCTGCAGCCATCGTGGGCGGCAGCCAGTGGCGGGTGGTCGCAGGGGCAGGATCGTGAGTCGCTGCCGGTGAGTGGTGGTATCGTGAGTCGGCGGCGACTGCTTCCGGAGGAAAGGGGGGATCGTGAGTCCTCGGTGTTGGGTGTTGGGGGGGGATCGTGAGTCCCGGCGTGTGCCCGTGTGGATCGTCAGCGCCGCGGGGGCCTTGGGGGTATCGTGAGTCGTCGTGGCGGGGAGCGAGCGAAGGGGTATCGTGAGCCCGGCAATTCAATTCCGCGTCGTCTCGACTCGTCGTCTCGTCGGACGGCGTCAAGAGGAAGGTGGGTTGCCGTGCGAGGGCGACGAGGAATTATCGTGAGATTGTCGTGAGGCCGCAGGGTGCGCGGGGGCTGGCGCAAGAATGCAGGGACGTCCGAGTGTCTCGTTGTGGGCGAGCGGCGGCGGCGGCGGCGGCGGGCAGAGCAAAACTCACGATAGTTGTTTGTTGTTGGAGTGTGGGGTCGGTCTGGGGGGTGTTCGTGGTTCGTTCGCGTGGGCGCGGCGCGCGGGCAGCTTCCAGGTTCAGCTCCAGCTCCAGTGGCCGTCGGCGCGGGCGGGCGGCGCCACAGGCACCCCCAGGCACCGCCAGCCAGTCACAGCGGCCAGCGAGTCCTAGGTGGGACGGCACTCCATCTATCCCTCTCACCGAGGTGAGCCGGACGTCAAACTCCACCTTGCTCCGCCCGATATACACAGATCGGCAACGACTCCGGGGCCCGTCGACTTCTTCAACGTTCGTCACGCTTGCGCAATGCCCCCAGGCAAGGATGCATCGGCTCCATCGCCTCATCCACTCTCGTGTTGTTGCCGCTGTTTCCTCGCCACCTCGCCTTGCCTGTCTCACCCTGGGACCGAGCTTATCCAGGCTGGAATGCTGCGACTGCATGCCAGGCATCACGCTGTTCCTCCGCCGCATCCGCGTCCGCTCCTCCTCTCCGCCTTTCGCCTCTCGCTCCCCCAGCCCGTTGCCGTTGCCCGCCCTCCCTAGCTCGTTCTGGGGCTCGGGGGGGCCCCGATCGATGGCTGCCGCCTTAGCCCTTCTCCAGAAAAATCTGCTACACATCGGCCCTGCCATGCGGTTTAGGAGCGGATGAACATGTGCGGATGGAGACACTTGGGATTGCCCATGTTTCCCGCTCTGCCGGGTCTGTCGCTGATCGATATGCATCCCGATCTACCTCACTCACTCGCCATCCAAGCCGTCAAGGCAGCTCTCAGCCGCTTCAGGAAGCTCTCCACCACCCTCTGAATCCTGCTGCTGTTGGCCGTCGTGGCCGAGGCCGTCAGCCGCACTGCCCGTAGACCGTGTCTCTGCCCATGGCCGCCATCGTCACTTGACCAAAAGCAACCAGGCATGTAACCCAACATGCCAGCCTCCTGACAGCCCACGCAGGGACCCCCCGCCCGGGTCGGCGTCGTCGCAAGATGAAGCCATCGTGACCGGATTGGGGCTAAGCCAAGGGCTATACGGCAGGCGAGGTGAGATTGGGGAGCCCGCTCAACCACCTGCCCCGGACCTCTGAGCGCTACTCCGGCTCCTCCAAGCATGCAATGACTAAATGACACGGCCACCCTCCCTTGCCTAGTGAGACCTTGGCATCCACACACACTCGTCAGCCACCCCAACCATGGCAGCTTTCGCCTTGCCCCCCCAACCAGCTCTCGTCCATATAATGCTCGGGGGGCCCGCGCTTCCCCTTTGTGTGGAAGGGCTGTTTGAGCCGGCCAGTTTAGCAGGCCCCTGATGGTTTCTCATTCGGGCAATAGGCGGGCGAAACGTCACACACCAAAGGCGGCTCCCCATCCCCTTGCGGGATCTCTCTTCCCCTCCGCTGCTCGTGGCCCAAGATGGCGGCTCGCGGCCCCGCGGACGCGGCGGCGGCGGCGGGCGGCATGGGCGGCCACGGCCTGCGGTTCCTAAATGACGAGTGGAACGACAGCATATCCAACGGCGACCCCTTTACCCTACGCTGGAATCAGACCGTCGACAAGGGCGGCTCCCAGCTCAGCCTCTTCAAGGTCACGTACCCAGAGGACGGCGTCATCGTCTATGAGCTGGTCACAAACTTGACTGGTGTGTAACCCGCCTCCCCCGAGCGAACTGTCGAACTCACCGGTAGAGTGGGGGGATAGAGTCTATGGACACCGCGCAATGCGTGTGGACGCCGGATCACCTGGAGGGCGGGCTGTACGCCCTATGGCTCAGCAACGGCCAGCACGCTCATGCGAACTGGACCATCTCCCCTCCCTGGGTGCCCAAAGAAGAGCCCAAAAGAAATGTTCGTGACCCCCCCTTTCCCCCAGTCACGCTGCCCCGCGCCGTCTGGCTGCCAGTTGTGCACCGTCTGACAAAGATCGACTCAAGACAGGCGGCCATCACTTACACTGGGCTGCCCCCATCATCATCCCCGTGGTCTGCCTCCTTGTCCTCTACGGCATATGTCTGACGGCGTACCTATTACACCGCCGCCGGAAAAAGGCCAAGCGAGACAAGGAAGATGCGACGCCGCATCAGGACGTCAGCCGGAACAACTCGGTCGACTCGGCCGTCACGGTGCAGACATTCACCGTCGACGCCGAGGAGTTCAAGGAAAAGTACGGCCGGCTACGCGCCGCCAGCAACGGCGGCGAGATTTGGATCTTCACCGACGCCTCGGACCATGCCGACATCACCGTCGGCGGCATTCCCGAAAAGGACATTGCCGACGTCGAACTCGGCAGTGGCGGCGGCGGCGTCGTCGGCGGCGACGACGAGGAGAATGTACATGAAATCGATCACCGGACCATCGGTATCGGCCTGTAAGTACGGAATCAAAAGAACCGTGGGTGCCCGGCACCTAGCGGACGGAAACTCTTGTTGCATAGAACGGACGGCATCATGGAGCATTGGCTGTGAATACTGCTCGTCACGGGCGAAGCTTGGTTCAGAAGGGGGTGGATGGGCGGTGAGTCGGGACGCGCAAAGAACACACTTTTTAGCGTTTGCTCTTCACATATCGATCCCTTCATCTGGCTGCTTGGAGTACGGGCTATGGGCGTACACAAAGGAGCCCTGTTAGAAAGCATGGAGGTCTTGTACGATTTGACGATTTGGTATCTAGACCCTGTATCATATGACCCTACACAGCATCTCTTATAGGGGCATCTAAACCTACAATACAGGATTATCGACTCAATATACGGTGGGAGGTTAAGAGTCTTTCGCAAGTGGCATGTCTGCGTGGCTAGATTAAGTATATCCAGACTGAGCTATCAAGGCGAGGGCCACGCCGATGGCATCAGCACCCTCACATCCACTTATCCCGTCGACAAGGACCCATCGTCCCCAACAGCACCCGCGTCCTCCCCGTCCGGCCACTCTCCCACTCCAGGAGGCACAGCATACATGGCCGCGGTCGTCGTTACAGCCAGCACACTCGCCGCCGGCCCCTCGACCTGCACCTCGCGACCCCAGACATCCACCCTGTCGGCTCCCCGGACCGTCGCGCCACCGCTCGGCACGTCCCGGGTACGCGGTCGGCTGCTACGTGCGTCCCGAAGTATCTGAGCGTGCGCTTCTAGCAGCTGTGTTTGGTGTTCTTGTCGCAGGACGCGGGTGCGCTCGCGCTGCGATGCGGTTTCGAGCGCGCGGACTGAGGGGTGGGCGGAGATGTGCGCAGCTTGTGCTGTTGGTGACCAGGGAAGGTCTTTGGTGTCTACTTGAATATAGCATCAGTAAATGAGCGTATGTTGAGCATTGCTCTGGGGAGGTGCGCTTACTCGGCAGTTCGCCGCTCATCGCGCGAACGCTTTCGCAGTACCAACAGGCGCAGTCGGAGTACGACTGCCCATACTTCTCAGCGTATATCTTGCACGTCCACGCAAACGCCATGCTCAGCTTGTCCTCGTCTATCTTGTCGGGATGGTCTAGTAGAGTCCCTGTCTTCCTAATGCTGGCCGCGGCGTATGTCTTTGGACTCAGCATGTGCGTGTGCCAGGCCAAGTCGACGTCCAGGGTAGGCACCACGAGGCGGCCTGGGTTATCCGCCACGACGTCCAGGAAGCGCCCGTACTTCTTCAGAAGTCTGTCTAGGATCTCTTTACTGTGTTGATTGTTTACCCAGTCGGTCTAGGCAGTTTTGTTGCGTCAAAATCAGCAAATGGCACGGTGCATGGCTTGTAGGGTTCGTCTCACCTGCTGCATCTTTTGATGGAACACACCCAGCCGCATCGCGGACCCGACGAGATCCGACGATGCAAAGCTGCGGGTTTGCTGATATCTTGCGATCCAAGCCCTGGCGTATCGTATGCTCCCCACACTGACTTTTGTAGCGAACAGTTCTTCAAGTTGTCGCCGCATCCCGGGCACAGAAGGCGTCTGGCTCGTCTGTGATTTGAGTTGCTTCATGTTAAGAACGTCGTTGAAGGCGCCTTGCTTAGCCGTCCTGGCCACAAAAAAGCGATCATCCACGGACTCTGAAGCAAAGCATGGTAATCCTGTATCGATGTGCAAAACTGTGCCGGGAAGTGAGATGCCATCAGACACAAGACCACTGACATCCTCATGGAGCCTGTGAATCGAGAGCCCATCGTCCGTAAGTTCGAAACGACACCTCTTGCAAGTCGCTCTTAGTTGCCCATCACCATATCCCTCTCCAGATAGCCCTGGTCGCCTGTCCTCCATGGTCAGCTGGCGCCCTGCTTGTAGCGCATAGACACACCTACTTGTCGCCATCATACTCTTGCGGAAGTCCACATGTGGTCCAGGGGATGCGCAGCACCACCCCGCATGACGGGCATTGCATCTCCTTTTCCAGGGGGTCTAGGATGTTTTCCCAGTCCCTTTCTGTGCGCTCCTCCCAAGACTCCTCGCAGTCTGCGCTGACGGAGAAGCCAGACTTGCTCTGGAGCGCTGCGTTCACCAATGACCACGGCATGCCGGCTGCCCACAGTGGCCCGTGGCCATATCGCAGACAGTCCTAGAGGTTATTGTAAGCGTGAAGCTTGATACGAGGTGGATTCTCAAGCCATACCTCGAGGTATGTTCGTGGGCTCAACATGTGCGCGTGCCATACCATGAGCACGTCTAATTGTGTGAGGTTGGCCTTGTGCTCAACATTGGACAAAGGGCAAACATACCCAAAGGCGGTAGGTTCTCCTCCTTCCACAGCATTGGCTTTGAGTGCAAGAAATTGAAGTACTTGTCTGGCGTGTCGCTACCTTGTAGCATGTCCGACTGCAGCAGCATGGCCGAGGGGAAGCTCTTCCACCAGGCTTCGTAGCGATCGACGGCACGGGCGATGTAAACAGCCCATCGCTTCTCGCGGAGTTTGACGAGTACGTCTAGCGAGTTGTTTGCTGACGAGGCGCGGTTATCCCAAATGTCCCAGAGCCCATCCTTGAGCCCAACCCTGCTCTTTAGCTTCTCAAAGGCATGTAGGAGCCGTAGGTGGGCAAGGCAGGACTCTGCGTCTGGTGTCGTCAACGGCCCATCCGACAAATTCAGCGACCCCAGCAGCTTTGAGAACTTGGGCTCGATAGACGCCATGAGGGAATAGCGGAATTTCCCATTTGCCGTGGCCTTGTTGACAGTCATGAAACCTTGGAAGACGTACGGGCTCCGTGTACAGATATGTTGCAAGCACAAGAGAACATTCTGATCACAGCCTACGGACACAGGGCATCCTTATCATATAGAATCACCGGCGTGGGCAGGCTCTTCACAGTGAGCACCTCGGCATGAACACTGGGACTAGGATCGGGATGCTTGCTGTCAGTCGCTACCCCACTGCCCTGCGCGGAGTGACAGGTTGCAGAGACCCGGCGGCAGGCAGGTCGCAGACTGGCACCTTGCAGCCGCGACGCCATCCCTGCGTGGAAACCATGCATCGAGGTTGCATCTGGAACGACCGGCGACGCTTCCGAGCGCGTGGGAAGGGGGCGAGTTCCTCGAAAGCGTGGCAGATCGACGAGGGTGAGCATGCAGCCCGGAGCGAGACATGAACGAGCCTATCGAGGATGGGCTCTGTCGATAGCGTAGACTATTAAGTTGGCGCCCGCAGACGTCCCTCGGCCATTGCTGGGAGTCCGTGACGGCCGGCCAGTTCCACTGACGTGCATGAGCTGGAGATGTGACGGGCGCGGATTGCGTCCGTTTGAGGGCGCGAACGGCATAAGCCCCACGCCAAAGTTGCTCCTGGTCACCGCCCGGAGACCCAAAAACCGCCAGCCACTACTGCTCAGGCGCTGCAGCTTTGGGAAAGCCGAAGCCTTCATGGCAAGGCATGCCCTGGCCCTGTATGGCCAGCTCACAGCACAGCCGTCACATGGAGCAAGCCTCGAGCGACTCGGGCAGACCCCGAAGCGGCGCTTTCATTGCATGGCCACGTTGTAGCTGCATGAATCGCAGAGAGACGAACTGACAGTGATGAGCGGCAGCGTCACGCGACGAGATGCAGCCATGATCCTCCCATGCCTTGCTTGCCAGGCCGCGAGGCGCTAACATGTAAGCACTACAGTGTGGACTGGTGCTGTAACGATGCCATGCAGTTGATGATCAGCAGAAAGATGCCGCCGATTCCATGGCGGCGGTGTTTGCCGTAAACGAGCGCAACGAGACGGCGTGTTGGCGGGGATCCTTCGTATGCAGAAGCGGCCGTTTAAGACGGAGGGAAGCATCACGTGACATGGATGCGACCACAGCAATCGTCTCCACCGGACACGAAACGGTGCCTGACTTAGCCCGGCCCTCGGGTGTACAATCTTCCAGCTCACTGCTACGCAGCTCACCCAGCGTGCATGATGCAGGCAGGAGCTTCAATCGTCAGCCTCGCCCTCCAACACCCACCACATTCCACGACTCGACCTCGCACCACCACGCCTTGCCCGGCTGCACATTGGCTCCCACGCAGCAGCCTTCCGAACCCTGATTCTTCAACTAGACCGTGTCTTTTCTTTAAACTCCTCCCGCTTTCCACAGGCTCCGAGACCGCACCGCCACCATGTCGTCTGACGGAGCACTGAAGCCGGAGAAGGACTTCTCCAAGGAGGTGGACAAGCAGCTGCCCGAGGCCGAGCAGTTGGCACAGGTTAGCAACATTGATTGCGTTGTAGCGATTAATTGCTGACCGAGACCCAGTCGAACCTCCAAGGAGCGATCGAGAAGCTCGTGGCCCTCGAGAAACAGACCCGCCAGGTACGATAACAGACGACTAATGCGCAGCCCAACACGATCCCGCTGACCTCGCCACAGGCCTCCGACCTCGCTTCCACATCCCGAGTCCTCGTCGCCATCGTCACACTATGCAAGAACGCAGGAGACTGGAGTTTGATGAACGACCAGACCCTGGTCCTCTCCAAGAAGCACAGCCAGCTCAAGCAAGCCATCACCAAGATGGTCCAGACCGTCGTCGGCTTCCTCGACGAGACGCCCGATCTCAAGACCAAGCTTTCGGTGATCGAGACGCTGCGGACAGTGACCGAGGGCAAGATCTTTGTCGAGGTTGAGCGGGCCCGCGTGACCAAGATCCTCTCCGACATCAAGAAGGAGCAGGGTGACCTCAAGGCTGCCACAGAGATTCTCTGCGAGCTGCAAGTCGAGACCTTTGGTTCCATGGACCGAAGAGAGAAGACGGAATTCATCCTCGCCCAGGTTGCACTGTGCATTGAGAGCGGAGACTGGACGCAAGCGGGCATCCTGGCGCGCAAGATCAGCACACGATACCTGTCACGCAAGCCCAAGAAGACACCGGAGCAGTTGGAAAAGGAGCAGAAAGAGCTGGAAAAGAAGAAGGCTCGGGGAGAGGAGGTCTCCGAGGAGAAGGAGGACGACACTACGGACCTGAAGCTGCGGTACTACGAGCAGCAAATCACGCTCGCGAAGCACGACGACAAGTATCTGGACGCCTGCAAGAACTACAGACAGGTCCTTGATACGGAGGCTGTAGAGGAAGACCCCGCAAAGCTTCATCCCGTACGTACTCTTGCTATAGTGTAGGATTTTACTGACTCGCACGACAGGTCCTCCAGCGCATCATCTACTTTGCCATTCTGGCGCCGTACGACAACGAGCAGCACGACCTCCTTCACCGTATCCACCGCGACACGCGCAACTCTCAAATTCCCCTGGACGCCGAGCTTCTTCGCCTCTTTACCGTTCCGGAGCTGATGCGATGGCCGGAGATTGCCAAGAAGTTTGGGCCGCACCTGTGCAGTACCGACGTCTTTGATGCTCAAGCCGGGCAGTCAGCCGATGAGAAGGCTCACCAGCGGTGGGAGGACCTGCGGAAACGTGTCATTGAGCACAACGTCCGCGTGGTGGCCAAGTACTACACGCGCATCCAGATGAAGCGTCTCACGGAGCTTCTCGACTTGGCCGAGGATGAGACGGAGAAGTACATCAGCGAGCTCGTCACCTCCAAGACGGTCTACGCCAAGATCGACCGACCGGCCCGCATCGTCAGCTTCGCGAAGCCCAGAGATGCGGATGATGTCCTGAATGAGTGGAGCCACAACATGAAGAGCCTGCTGGGGCTGCTGGAGAGGATCGATCACTTGATCACCAAGGAGGAGATGATGGCGCGCATCCAGCCCACGAGCGCAAAATAGAAGAGCGGTAGACAAGGCAGTGTTGCGATTATGGTGGGGGTCTGTAGTTGTACAGATTAAACAGTCCTCTGGTTGAGGACGTCATGTAACATTTATGACGGCGCTTGTCCCAAGTCTACTGGCTGTCTATGCTGTTTGTGATGATATCTTGACTTGTCTTTCGAGTTCATCATAGCCCTGCCTTGGGCTGGGGGGTCGACGCGTGTTGCTTGATGAAGCCAGCGAGTGGCATGGCCCATTCTTTAGAAACGGGAACGTGGTGACCACCGGGATGCACAATGACGAGGGGTTCCACGCAGCGGTCAACGAGCGCCTGACTCCGGCTCTCGTCAACGACGGTGTCCAGGCTACCAATATAATGCAGCGTGGGTGTCTTGATCTCGGGCTCGTAACAGAACGCGAGCCGCTCCACAGGGGCATAAAAGCCCGAGTACGAGACCGCGAAACGCAGCGCCCGCTCGCCGTTGGCCTCGCGCAGCGCACGCACCCAATCCCCCTCGGGCCCCTCAGGTGCCTTCCTCCCGGGCTCGAGGGCCGCGGCAACGACGCCCGTTACGGCGCCGCCCTGGCTGAAGCCGCAGATGGCATCCACGCCGCCGGCCTCGCGGATGGCGCTGGCGACGGTGGCCATGCCCTCGTCGAAGAAGCGGTACGTGCCCGTGGCGTCGTCCTTGCGCCACCACGCCCACGCGTCGGGCGGCGCCAGCGCTTCGCCTCCCTCACCGTCGCCGGTGGAGGGCGGTTGGTAGCCGGGGATGTCGCTGGGGAGCAGGCGGTTCGGGCCCGTGGGGTAGATGAGGGTGGGGAGAAGGGCCGAGGGGGCGAGGGTCTTGATGAGGAGTTTCTCGAGGGCGCGGGTCTTGGCGTGGAAGAGGGGCCCGGATTGTGTGTAGCCTGGGTGTGTGAGCGTTAGTGATGCCGATATTCAAGGGTAAGGATGAAGTGAGCTTCGGCGAGGTGAGTCGTGTCCCGATAGACAAGCCATGTTGGAAATATGGGTAGCAAGGGGGGGCATACCATGGAGCATAAGTATCTTAATCTCCGTCTTCCCCCCATTCGTCTTTGCTGCCTGCTGCGGCGCGGTCGGGGCCGCAGCCTCGGTAGACGCAGTCATGTTGCGACGATGATAACGAACCGCCGGCGGCACAAGCACTGGGCGCGGGAAAGCGAGGAGAGGTCTAGCCGTGGGAACCGCTCGCGCAAGAAATCGCATCAAACAGAAAGGACGGAGTATCTATATGAACGAAAATGAAAAACAGTTTCGAGCGCAGCGCTGAGCGATGTGTGCAGCGTGTAAGTTACTTCGTAGTTGTCTTATGGAAAAGATGTGGCGCTTCGGGGACGGAACTGAATTTGAATTGTCAGCAGCGAGCATTGGTTCGGTGACGTCCGGACGCCAGCGGCGGAGTGTGACTGACTGGCCGAAAGCTCCACCGCTATCAGAGCCAACAGTGCAACACCAGGGATTATTTCATGTTCACTACAAAGAAAGAAATACAGCGGTTCGCTGCTCTCGTTGCCCGTTCAGTATGGGACTTGAGAATCCATTGACAATCGCATGGCCGGAAGGGGCATAATGAACGGATGCGTGTACACGGGTTGTGGGAAAGGCCGGGCGTGACACCGGCCCAGTGTCCTCGAACAACGGCCGACGGGGTTGACATCCGAACAGTGGCATCGAGGGCACGCATCTCGCCACATAAAATATGACGCGGCCGTCGTGCAAATCGCATCACAGGACTTTTACACCATGGCATGAACATTGCGTTGCACAAGGTCTATTAAGCCCCGAATGCGAGTCTATGGTACAATATCATCCCAGACGGTTTCCCTCTCGGCGACGCGTCGTTCGGGTCGGCCGAATATGCTCGCTCCCCGGTGAATTCCAAGCCGTGTTCGTCCTCATCCTCCGCCACGCAGTACAGAGACTTAGTGGCCGCCGGTGCCGGCAGTCTTGGCGTTGGGGTTGCGAGGGTCGTTCTTCCACTCGTCGGCTGCGTCACATTGTCAGTATCTCTGCTCGTCGGACGTATGATGGGTTCAGGGTCGCTGCGTACAGGCCATCATGGCGTTCTGGGCAGAGTTGGCGCCGTAGGCGATGATCAGACCTGCAGATTACATGTTAACCGCCGTTCGGAAAGAGACACGCGCGGGTGTCGACGTCGGCATCGGCGCAATTGCCCCGTGTCCATTCGCAGGTTCGTCTATTCGTCGACGCGTCGGCGGGCTACGTACCAGCAGCGAAGAAGGGGGCCATCGGCTTCACTGTTGCAATTGTCAGCCATCTCGGTCGCTGTCGGGTCGGTTCGTGGGGGAGGGGCCGCATCGCGCGGTCCGGGACTGCACGCACGGAAAGGAGCCGGGAACTTCTTGAAGGGAGCGACGCCGAGCCAAGACATGATGGGCGAGTTCGTGGGTATCGCGCGGGTCGCAATTGGGTTGATGTGGCAAGGGGTGGATGTTGCTGGGACGAAGTCTTCAAAACGAGCCTTTTTCACCAAGCAGAGCTCGCTCCCCGATGTCTCGAGCCAGCCAGCCAGTAGCCGAGCAAGCGCGGGCGGGCGGCAGCCTGAGGCAGCAAGCACCAGGACTGGAGGCGGGAGCAGGCTCTTGCCGGGCCTTCCTCGGAAGATTGGATGGGGGAAAGGATGTGTCATCAAACCGGATGGGGCCGCACACATCACGTGACTGTCGCCGTTCAACGCAGCGGCAGCGCCAGCGGCAGCGCGGCCTCGAGGCGTGACATCATGGGCCTGTGGAGCAGCTTCCCCAGAGAGCAAAACACAGTGGAGGCCGGCCACAGCACTGCCAGCGAGACCTGGGGAACCGCGTCCCGCCCGGTACCTGCCTTGGCCCGCCTGACCTCCTTACCTTACCTCGCGGTCGCCTCTCCTCCCAGCTCTCTCCCAGCTCCCTCACCTCCGTCGCCTCCCTCCGCCGCCTCCTCCTCTTCTGCCGCCTGCTCAATTCATCCACCGCACCGCGCCGCGCCGCGCCGCACCGCAACGCACCGCAACGCACCGGCCACAAAAGCACAAGCACGGTGCAATCAGCTTCGGCCTATTACAAGCACGCATCATTCATCCGTGCCCACGTCGGCCGTACCCCCCGTCTGCATCGCCCAAACGTGCGGGGTGAGAGACCTAGCTGCAACGTACCTGCCCCCCGACCACCAATAGCCCGTCGAGGCTGCCCTCCAACTCGACACCACTGCTGCGTCGCCGCACCACTTCCCAGGTAGCTGCACCACCGCGCGTGGCTCCCGCTCCTCCTGTTGCTCGCCTTTCCTGCCTGTTCGCCCGCTCGACACCTCTGTGCCGCGCGACTCTGCCAATTACGTTGGCTCTCCGACGCGGTTTGCAGCTGCCTCTCTGTCCCGCCTGCTGCAACGCTGCCCGCTTCGACACGTACTCTGCTCTGTCCGACGCCTTCTCCTTGTTGCCGTCCCGAGCCGCGTCTTCGAAACGCCTCCGAGGCATTCCTCGTCTCGTTTGTTCATACCAGAGCTCCAGCACCGTCGACGCTGAGCTTTGCCTCCATCTCCCGTCTCCTCCGCCTTCTACCTCGCCCTCAAACCCCGCGCAACATGCTGTGCCGAAGCGTCCCTCGTCGTGCCGCGGCCGCCACCGCCCGGTCCGTCGGCATGCGACCGCTCAGCACCACGGCATTGCGGCGGTCCAAGACGCCATCCATGGGCGACATTGAGCCCTCGGCCTCAGCAGTCGGCTCGTTCAACAGCAAGCAGCACGCATTTCGAGAGAAGCTCGTGGAGGCACAGAGACAGCGGGGAGCACGTGCGTTGGCCGCCCAGAAGTCCTCTGACTCTTTGTCCGACCAGTCGGGCCAAGGCTCATCCAAGAATGATGCAGGAGCAACCGCAGAAGCCCAGCAGAAGGAGACTGATCGCAAGCATGGGCCTCTCTCCAACCTCATCTACGGCACCAAAGAGGGTCGCGAGATGGAGGCCCAGATCCAGGCGAGCTTCAGTCAGGTCCTCGCTCGTGGCAAATACGTCCACTCGATCGTCTTTCACGAGGTGAAGCCCGACAAGGTGGACGAATACGTCGAGCTCGTCGGCAAGTGGTACCCGCGGATAGCCAACGCGCCAGAGAATAAGGTTCATCTGGTCGGAAGCTGGCGCACCGAGATTGGCGACTGCGACACCTTTGGTTCGTCATTGCCCTGCTCATGAGACGGAAGCAGCTTGCTGACCCGAAATGCACTGCCAGTGCACATCTGGGAGTACCAGAAATACGCAGGTTATCACGAGTCGCGGCACTCCATCACCCACCACCCCGAGTTCGCCGAGCTGGACGCCAAGCTCAAGACCATGATCAAGTCTAAGAGCATTTCGCTGATGCAAGAGTTTTCGTTCTGGCCGACGACGCCCCCTCGACAATTGGGAGGCGTTTTTGAGCTGCGATCCTACACGCTGCACCCTGGCAACCTCCTCGAGTGGGAGACGCACTGGCGTAGGGGCCTCAAGGCGCGCCGCGAGGTTATGGAGGGAGTGGGTGCCTGGTTTGTCCAGATAGGAGACCTGAACACGGTCCACCACCTCTGGCAGTTTGCTAACCTGGAGGAGAGGCGTGAGCGCCGCGAGAAGAGCTGGTCGGTCGAGGGCTGGAGCGACACAGTTCACAAGACTGTGCCTCTTATTCAGAGCATGAAGTCGAGAATCCTGATCCCCATGCCCTGGTCGCCCGTGGCATAAGGCTGGCTAGACCTCGTCGTCTAGTTTGGGGACTTTGCAGTTCATAGGGCATTTGCAGCGGCATGCGCAACATTAGTGCTCCGTTGAGCACAACCAACGGTCCATGGGGAGCTCGAAAGTAGCATCGTGGGCGAGTAGGGAGTCTAGGGACTATTTGCAATGCGCGTTGGGGTGGACCTGGCAGGAGCAGATATGCGCCCGCCGACGAGGAGGCACAAGCATAGCCATTTCTTTTGTCGAGGGCGCCTGCGGAGTACTTGTACAACCAATGCCACAGAGCCTCGGTTAGCCGAGACTGTCACAATGTATGAAAACCGTTTACAAGATGCACTGGCTTGTCGACGCACCGGGGAGTTGGCCGCTTGCAAGAGCATGGCATTCAAACTACGCGCTAAGTCTCCCATGATGTGTCCAACCAAAACTCCGGGGTATCCAACTGGCAGCGCATAGCCAGGCCATGCGCATTCAAGCCTCGTCCAGGTCCACGCCCATGACGGCGGCGAGGTTCCGCCGCGTCTGGCCCAGCATGTGGCTCAGGTATCCGAGTTTCGAGTAGAGGGATATGAGGCTCGGGTCGGCGCTCTCGATGCGCACCTTTTCCCGGACGTAGACCTGCTCGACGGCGTCGCCGCCGCCGCCGCCGCCGGCTGCACTCCCGCTCCCGACGCTCCCGTGGGCACTGGGGTCGGGCGAGTGCCTGGCGCTGGGGTGCTTGGACTCTGCGCTGCCGTCGCCAGCGGGGCGGTAGCGGAAGACGGTGTCCATCTCGTCGTGCTCGAGGCGGCGGACGGTGCCGATAGCAAGGCCGAGCTTGGTGCCGAAGTGGACGGGCGCGCCGGCGGGCTCGAGGGCGCGGAGGTGCAGGACGACGCAGCTCTCCTGCAGGCCGAGGTGGACGCTGAGGTGGTGCGGGCTGGGGCAGGGCGGGGTGAAGTGGTGCGCCGGGCAGGAAGAGGTGAGCCAGGCGGACGTGTCTGGGGGTGGTTGCGGCGCGGAGCCGGAGCCGTGACCGGAGTTGGAGGCGGACGGGACGGCGAGCTGCTGCGGGCCCTTGAGCAGGGCGGAGGAGGCGGCGAGGGAGTCGGCGAGCAGGGCGAGGGTGGAGGCCAGGTAGGGGGCGTCGATGGCTGGGGATGATGACGACGGCGGCGGCGATGATGATGACGATGAGGGAGAGGCGGCGCGGGAGAGGCATACGCCGAGGAGGTCGATGGACTGGGTGAGGTGCGTGTGCAGCTCGTCGAGGGCGGGGATGTGGATAGGCGACGACGGGTCAACGGAGATGGTCTGCGCGGGCAGCGTCCGGAGCTGCAGATGGAGCGTCTACATGCCATTGTCAGTCAGCCCGGCAGTCCTCTCTCTTCACATTGAACGCCGACGCGCAGAGAAACTCCCCACGTCGGGAAGAAGAGCAGGAAGTGAGGGAGGTAGTACGACGCACCCCCTTGACGATGCGGGTGCCGACGCGCGTCAGCGTGCCCTTGACCTTCTCGTTGTGTCGCGTGCTCATGACGAGCGTGCTCCCCGGGTCGACGGGCGCCAGCAGCGCGTAGCAGTCCTCGAGCCCGTGCTTGAGCTCGCGGCACGCGTCGAGCGTCTCGCCCGCGATCCAGGCCAGCTCGCGCGCCCGCGTCTCGGCCACCCGCGCGGGGAGCTCCGCCGGCGGGACGGGCGGCCAGATGGCGATGGACATGGCTTCTTCCCCGTCAGCGTGGTGGTGGTGGGCGTCGGCGTCGGCGTCGCTGCTGATGGTGCTGATGCCGCTGCTGGTGATGATGCTGCTTATCCTCCTTCTGCTTCTGCCCTGCGCTTTTCCCTCTTCTTCGCTAAGGCGCTATCTCCTGCCTGTGCGGGCGTGTGTCTGCGTGTCCTGTATATACGTGGAGGTTTGGCGTGCGCGTTTCCGCTTCCTCGTCCGGGGATGGAGCTGGTCTGTTTACGGGTGCCTGTGTCTGGATGAGGATGCTGATACTGATGGGGGGAACCCGTGCGAGTATAGCCACTGCGGCCCGTCGCTAGTGTCGCACACGTAGGAGCGATGTGGCCGGGAAGCGAGCGTGGGTGGTCGGGATAGGCGACGCTGGTGGTGGTGATGAGAGGCTCAAGTGACGTCGGAATTGAGTGACGCCTCGCTCAATCAGCTGCTGCTGCGGCAACTGCTGTCGCTGCTGGCGGCAGCGGAGCTAGGGGCGTGGGTCCTGGCGCCTGCCTGTGGGGTGCATGGATCTCTCTCTCTCTGTCGCGGCGGCGGCAGAACAGCTGAGAGGCTCCATCAAAAATTCACAACCCGGCTTGCTTCACCTTGTCATCTCACGCTGCTCATCAACCTCTCTCACTTTCTGAGAGACTGCAAAGTGCACAAGACGCGTATGCACTCGATGGTGAACCACCAGTCATCGCCTATAGACGCCATCTCAATCTGGAAGCGCGCCGCCGTCCGCTCATAGGTTGCCGAACCTTTTAAGACTACGGTCACCACATCCATACTTGCACGCCGCATCACAACCTCACCGTTATCAACAAAGGCCCAACTCCCATCTCACGCGCGCCGTGCCAGCATGGCTCCCCCCAAAGAAATCAGCAAGGGCTCAGCTCCCTCCGCCAAGGCACCACCACCACCACCACAAGACTTCAAAAAACTGCCACCCATCCCCAAAGGTATGTCAACCCAAATCCCCGAACAACCGCCATACACGCGCCGCAGCCGCCGTCTCCTCCCCCCTCCATCACAAGATACTGACCTCGTCCCGCCCCCTCCACAGGCTCCAAAGTCCAGAAACGGCCCCTCACGCGGCGCCAGCTCCCCTCCTCGTCCAAGACCCCCGTCGTCTACGTCTCCTCCTCCACGCCCTTCATGTCCGCCGTGCGCCGCGTGCAAAAGTACCTCGACCGCTCGCTCCGCAACGCCACCGCCGCCGCGCCGCGCAACGCGTCGCTGCACGCCCGCGTCGAGGGCCTCAGGCGCCGGGCCGCTGCCGCCTCCGCGACGACGGCCTCGGGCCAAAGCCGGGGTAGCGCCGCCGCTGGCGGCGCAGACGGGGGAGACGATGCCGATCCCGGAGCCACCCGCGTGACCGTCATGGGCACAGGCCGCGCCGTGGAAAAGGTGCTCGGCGTCGCGGGCTGGTTCGAGCAAAAGGGCGACTGCGTGGTCGCGCTGCGTACGGGCACCGTGGGGGCCGTCGACGACATCGTGGCTGAAAACGGGGAGGCGGAGGATGAGAGTCGTATCAGGATGGTGAGTTGCCTCGAGGTCGTGGTGAGCCTGAAGTGAGGCACGCCGCATTCGACAAGGACTGTGTCATCGTAGGATGATGCGCCCACGTCATCACCAGATACGGGGCGAGGTCGGCCCTGGACGCCGGCGAGACTCCGATGACATTCGGCGGCTCTCTTGCGACAAACGCTTGTGAGAGTACTGCTACGAAACACGAACCGGGTGCGCGAACTGGGCCTTGGACCCATCAAAGTGTCGACGCCAAGATGCGTCCGCGGGAGCGGATCGACCGAATGCAGCACAACGGAAGCACGCCAGATGAACAAAGAAGTCGTGTATTTGGAGCCACAAACGGTCCATGGCAACGACCTAGAATATCACGTCGCCGCTCATGCGCCGTTCCCATGCTAAAGGCCGTTCTTCCAGCTCAACTGGCTCATATCAAATAACAAATACTCGCTCCAGCCCGACCCGAACAAGACTCCGCGGACCCAGCTCACGCGCCGTGCGGAGCAGCGGGTCCGTTATGCAAAATGGACGACAAATACCGGCCCACAAATGATGTTGCGTCACGCGCTCTTTGGTATCGACCCGGCCTGGATGTTGCTTACAGATGGAATGGTGATGGATGTTGAATAGTGTTGTCGAGCGTTGGTTGCCTGGAACAGCTCAGGTCACGCGATACGCGCTGTACTCGCCACCATTAGCCATCGCCGACGTCGGAAAACCACTTCGGGCTCGAGGTGCAACTCACTCAATGATTAATTCCTCGCCGTGCCAAACTCCGCTGGCGACCCACAGGCCGCAGTTGACGATCTCGGCGTAGCGCTTGTCCGGAGTCTTGACTGTGGCAAACATGCGGAATCCATACTGCCGCGCGTCGATGTCCTTGGGCTGGCGAGGGCTCAACAGCGCGTCGAGCGTGTCGCAGGGACCAGAAAGGGAGCCCCTGGTGCGCATTTCCAGGCTGTCCTCATCGGTCAGCATCATGCTTGTACAGTACATGCTACATGGTGGGAATGAGGGAGACAAACATGGCAGGCGGCTCGTCCGTCGTTTGCAGAACAAACGCGCCCTCGACGATGCGAATGGGTCGGAAGCCTCGTGCTTGGCCCAAGTCATATCCGCCGGCCTGGAAGTGTCTTGCGGTCAGCACGCTGGTTCGATGGCGCCATCGTTGTAGCCGTTATGGCGAAATACATACCATTACCCGACCGTTTCCGAACGAACCCGACCAGCTCCCCCTGGAGATTGTAGTAATTTCCTTCTTGACGCGGTTCTCAACCAGCGACGGCTCCGGATTCAGTCCCACGGCGATGCGGAAGTCGAATTCGAGGGTCGGCATCGGGAAAGTGATGGACGGACTGGGAAAGTGATGCAGCGCCCGCTTGCACGATTCCTCGACAGAGGTGCCGCTGCATCCGCCCTCTGACGCATTGTCGTCAGCATCAGTGTCGTCCTTTGTGTGCTGCTGGTCGGCTATGCATGCGGTGAGGGAGCGTGGTGAAGATGGACCGCCGACGCCGGTGCACTGCGCCTTGTTGGGCGAGGCGGCCGAAGGAAATCGCAGACCAGGGGTGATGTTAGTGTCCCAGTCAACAGAGTCGACCTCGTCAAGCCTGCGCTTATGGGAGTCGTGTGTAGTAGTGTGCTGTGCTTGTTCGTGGCTGCTCTGGTGCAGAGCAGGTGAGACGTGCAGACAGGCCATGGTAGCCGCCGTGACATCGGTCGGGGCTGTAGTCGTCGGGAGCGAGAGCGTCTCGGTCTCGGTGGCCATGCTGGGCAGTGGGCTGCCCCTTTCCCTTTGTCTTGTGCCTGCAGCGCAGCCCAGCGTCTTTTCCCTCTCCTGATGAATGACGGGATGCAACGACGGGCCGTGTGATATTACCCCGTCCACGAGTTGTCGCCGGAAACAGACGGCGTTGTCGTGTTGTGTCGGAATCGCCCTCGGGAGCCGATGTGCTGAGCGCTGCAGCCGGGTGGGACGAGGCGAGCTCGAGAATGGGGTGAGATGTGGGCAGGCTCGGGTATTTCGTTGACGTCCCCCGCCAGGGAGCAGCGACTAATACAGTGGTGGTGGCCTTGGTGCCGCAACTGCAAATGCGGGACACGCGAGATGGATGGATGGGATGGGACGGTGGTGCGCGGGATCGAGGAGGGGGAGGGGAGCAAATAAGGCAAAAAGTGACGTCTCGCGTCAATCGACTGGCTGGACGAGCTTTGAGTATTATACCCGGCCTGGGGAGCTCGAGCTTGCCATTCGGCTCCCCGGAAGAATATGGGGATATCGGCGAGCGAGCTTAATAAACGGCGGATTCGCCGCCTCGCTAACGACGGGTGTAGCTGCGGTATGTTCCACCGCTGCTGCTGGCCTGGCCTGGTCTGGCCTGCTGCCGTGGGCCGCCGCGGACGACGGGCGGGCGGGCTGTCAGGTTGCTGGCCTCCCGTCGACTGCTGGTGCGTCGGCGTCGAGCCCAGGCCTGGCCAGCCCATCTCCGAGCGCCTCTGCTGTCCGTACCTGTAAGTCCGGGCGGCCCGCAGCATTGCGCAGGATAGGGTTTGGCAGGCTGGCCAGCGCCGCGCCCTGCAGGGTCATGCAGCAAGTCGACGGCCCGGATTTCAAATCGCCCAGCCCTCATCGTCCGCTGACAGTGCACGGCGCCAGCCGCTCCCACAGCGCGACGCGGCGCATGAATTGATGACGGGGCCTGTCCGCTGTGGCGAGCTGGGACAGTGCAAGCCCAGGTGTGGCCCGGGTCTGTCGGGCACCGAGGGCGGCGAAGCGGCTGGAGCCCGCTTCGGGGCGATTATCAGGCCGCCGCTGGCGAGCCATCAATGTCTTGTCCACCATCCGCTATGGTTGCTGGAGGTGCCGCGGAGCAAGTCGTGGCGGGCATAAAAGGGAAATAATCGCCGATTTCCTCACCAGTGGGCAGTTCAATCACTCCACCGTCGTCCTATGCTGGCATGTTGGTGCCGCTCCGACATGTTCTCGTGCTGAGCCCATGAGCGCCTGAAGACGTGCTGTTCAAGAGCCTCAGGCACGCTCGCTCACGTCCGCTCTCGAGTCCTGGTCTCGGAGGATGCCAGCTGCTGCCGCCTGCGGGCCTGGCCGCGGAGGTGAGGCGCTGACGGACTTGCGGGATTCCATTGTAATGCGAGCGGGACAGCACGTCTGTCCCGTGGAGCCTCGCCTTAACTCCGCGGCGGGGCCTCCGAAACCACTCGGCCGGCCGCCGACCCCGTCCATCCCGACAGCGGAGCCTTTTGTCTTGGTAAACGTCATTGGCATGCTTTTTGTTGAATGGCAAAGCGACTCTTGAACAATCATCGAATATCGGCGAGACGTGTGCTCGTACGACCGTCTTTGTTGCAACAAGGGCGCTCGGCGCGGGAGGGCGCGGCGACATGGGTCAAGGACGGGAGGGCGACGACAATGTGCTGCATAAGCGTTTGGTCAGTCAGCCAGCCAGCGCGCCTGGATCTGGTACGAGGCGCCCTGTAAAATGTCCGGAGCAACTCGTAGCACCCACCACCGCGAGATGCGGCCCGGGCTGGCGAACCAAGTGCGAGCTTATTCTCGCTGCGTCGACCAGGATGTGACCGATCTGGCAGCATGCTTCGATTGCAGCCAACCCGTCAAATTGCAGGCGCGATTTGCTTTGGCCAGGGCTGTGCGACCGCACCCGGCAATCGGACTTTCGGTGGCGGTTGAGCTGGGCCCGGACGCTTGGGGACATATGTAATCAGTGTCGTTACGAAGTTCGAAGTAATCCGCGTGGCTGCTGACCAACGAGACGCGAACTGCGCCGGCATTAATGGCGATGTCGCGAATCAGGACGATCAAGAGGCCGTTGTGCTTGCGGATGAGGAAAGTCGTCGGCGGAAAGGACGCCGTACGAGCTGTTCAAAAGCCAGACAAGGCAGCACGAAGACAAGGAAGGCACCAAGTGGTGCGGTACATGAGTCTTCTTTCCTCAACGGGCTTTGGGTTGAAGACGACCTTGGTGGTTCCTGCCTCGGACTCGACTGCTCCTGCCCTGTAATCCCGCCCTGTCCAGTGACTGCTGTCCCCATTCAGCCAAGCCGGAACCCACATGAATTTGGCCGGAAGCCTCGCATCCCCTCCTTCTGGAAAATGCCGGCGAACAAACTCGATAAAGTCGCCGCCGCTCGACCACCCGCGGGCCGAGACATTTCAAACTCTGGGCCCGCCGATTCGGTCCGCAGCGCGTTCTTGTGCGTGTACAGGGCCCCACCACGAATCGTACCTGCACCACTGCATCACGTCGACGCGTTCGGCTGAGCCGGCGCCATGGACGCGCAACAGGGGCAAGAAAAAACCTGTCGTATCCTCACATCTGCCGAGCCGGCTGCGATACATCCGCGTGCCGATTTAACCCTTGACTGATATTCGGGGACTCACTTGCTCAGGGGCAAACAATAATTACGCTGTCGACGGACTTCGATCGAGTCATGCCATAGGCTGTCGCTCAGTCGCTGACGCGACATCGCCACCCACTCGTCCGAAGCCGAGGGTTTCAACCCCGTGCTCAGTAAACACACGATATGAAGGACGACAGTTGCCGGTTATTTGTCAATCCTTCGACAATTCGTCGACTGGGACACGTGCAGTCTGTTGCATCGCTCAATTCTCACCGATCATGCGCCTTGTAGACAGTCGCGGCGACCATCTCCCGACGTGAGCTTGATAGTTTGGAATCAAGTCATGGGCAGCGACGCGGCTTCCCCATGACGCGGCCCCGTCTCAAGTTGCCCGTCAGCGGTACATGCAACAAACTGCCTAGTTGGGAGAGAAATCCACGAGGGCGGTGTATATGGCCTGTGAGTGCTGGTCGGAGGCATCTTTTCACTGACCAACCGCAGGTTCCGTCGGAATCTCTAAGCGATTCGACCTCTGTACTGTACTGTACAGTACAGTACAGCACAGTAGCGCTTCTTCGTCTGGATTGCGGTACAGTACATTCCCTGGGCTTCGAGACGTCGCCTTTGTCCGAGGTGAAGAGACAGCTCACAAGAGCCCCCGCGGTGCAATCGCCGGGTCCATTAATGAGCTGCAACGTCTCATCGGCGAGCCTGAGCTTGCATGCGCACCGAGCTCCCACCACTGATCGTCAGAGTTTGAGTGTCAGACTTCAGACTCAAGCATATGCTCATGACGGGATAAACAAAAAGAGGCTCGTCCCTTTTCCACGGCATCAAACACCGAAACTCCAGGAGCTTTCAAGACATACCATTCATCTTCTCGCGCTCAGTGTGGCCAGCTCTTTCCACGTCCTTGTAAGTGTTTCGTTACTGTAGCCCCAGGCACAAAGCAGCAGGCACTTTCACAATAGTAGGCCTTTTTCGGCCCGTCTCGTAAGGTGCTCGAGCTTCTAGATCTTGTTTCATGCAGGCTGAGCTCGTCCTTGACGGGCCCATGGCGATACGAAACAGTGGCAATGCCATGATGAGCCGGCCACAGCCCCCAAGACGTCAGTGCTCGGAACTGTCGAATCTGTGCGTAATGCATTCGGTCCCTTGAAGCTGTCGCATCGGCCCGTGTCGGTGCTGTCGATCCCATATCAAAAAGGGGCGGAGTTGAAAGCGCATCGACTCCTCGCTGCTCAAGCTCCTCCCTCTGCCGGACGAGACTGCTTGTTGGATCCTATAAGAAAGCTTGCCTTCCGCATAGGGCGAGCCAAGCAAGCATCCATAATCAAGCAGTCACACAAACTACATACCGCCATCATGCACACGTCCGCCGTCGCCGCCCTCGCCACCCTCGCCTTCTCGGGCACCGTCCTCGCCGACGCGTGCGCCGCCAAATGCACCCACGAGTTCCAGGAATGCTACGTGGGCGGCAATATGCCCATACGCGATTGCGCCTCCAACTACGCCCACTGCCTCGGTTACAACCCCTGGGAGAAGACCCCCTACGAGGAGCCCACGACCTGCAAGAAGGCTACCAAGCGGGAGAAGGTCGAGGCTGCTGCCGCCGCCGCCGACGCCCACGCTGAACCTGAGAAGAGGCATGGCTACCACGCTGCCACCGGCCTCAATCACGGCTCCTCAGGCACCCTGCACAGTCAAAAGGCTGGCTCCGGCCATGGCCATCGTCACACCCGCGCAACGCCCGATGCCTGCGCCGCCAAGTGCACCCACGAGTTCCAGGAATGCTACGTGGGCGGCAATGTGCCCATAAACGAATGCGCCTCCAAGTACGCCTACTGCCTTGGCTACAACCCCTGGGAGCAGTACCCCTACAAGGAGCCCACGACGTGCAAGAAGGCCACCAGGTCGGAGCCGGACTCCTGCGCCGCCAAGTGCAATGGCGACTTCCTGCAGTGCTTCAAGGACGGCACGCCCGTCAATGACTGCGCTTCCAAGTATGCCTACTGCCTTGGCTACAACCCCTTTGAGAAGTACCCGTATGAGGAGCCCAAGACGTGCAAGAAGGCGCCGGCGAAGCGCGATGCCAACACCTGCGCCCAGGACTGCGCCGCGGCCCTCCTCAAGTGCTTCACCGGTGGCAAGGATTTCCAGACCTGCGGCACCGAATTCGGCATCTGCCTCATCACGACGTGCACAAGCCAGAGCAAGACTACCGAGCCGGCGAAGCGCGACGCCAGTGCCGAAGGCTGCGCCAAGGACTGCTCCGCGGCCCTCGTCAAGTGCCTCGCCGACGGGAAGGACTTCCAGACGTGCCGTAACGAATTTGGCGTCTGCATCCTCACAACGTGCGGAAGCCAGGCCAAGACCGCCGTCGAGCCGGTAAAGCGCGACGCCAATGCCGATAGCTGCGCCAAGGACTGCGCCGATGCCCTCGTCAAGTGCTTCTCTGAGGGCAAGGATCTCCAGACATGCGGTACCGAGTTTGGCGTCTGCCTCATCACGACGTGCGCGAGCCAGACCAAGTCCGCCTGAGCGACTCTGCCCAACAAACCGGTGCGGCGCATCGAGATAGATAGAGCCCGGCCGTCAGTCGATCGCGTCCGGGTCCCTGAGGTGAGGCGTCCAGGGCTGCGGCTCGACTGACGACTGACGGACGGGGGTACATGAATTGTAGCGCTATTGACTTTTCTTACTGGCAACCTCTGTATGTAGCCAGCTGCACTGTATATACACACTGTCACAGTTTTAGAAATTGGAATTTTGTCTATCCTCCTCACAAAACATTTGGCTTCTCGGGTTAAGGACTTGCTTGACACCGGGCAAAAGACTTCTACTTCTGCAGCGCTGCTGGATCGTAAAACAGAGTCCTTTTCCACCCAAGCAAAGTGAAGGGAAACACACAAAAGGACTCAACCACGCACCAAGCTGAGAGCGAGCAAGAGTCTCTCCAAGCGCGATCAACTTCCCAATCAGGACAAGGTAACCCCCTTGGCAGAGAGAAGATGGACTGGACCGGCAACGCAAACCTAGAGGGCGTGTACGCAACCTAACTAGGCGGCGCCTGTTGAAACAATCTCTGAAATCCCCGCTTCCAACGAACGAACGAAGCGTCTAGACTCCAGTCGTCAATCGCAATAGCATGTAGGCAAATGGCGAATCGCACACAGGCCACTTGCTCCCCCATACTGCCCGACCGATGGCAACAAGGTTGGGCGCCAGGTATCACGATAGAACGCTAGTGCAGATCCACCTTCACAGCATGCGTTGATCCAACGCAGATCCGTTGAAACGGCCGAGGCGAAACGGTTCCCGCCAGCGAGCCGGAGGCGCACATCAGACGACGATCTCACGGGCTGAGTTTCGGCGCACGTACGCCACAGAGATCGCAAGAAACATCACAGGATCGACACCCAACAGCCGCTTTTTGAGGCAACGCGATGTTTTTCACCTAGACGAAAACTACAAACCGCGAAGCGAGCGTCCAGCAGCACCTCGAGGCCAGATACCCCTCCCTGGCGCCAATCGCCATAACACATGCCTGAACCCGTGAAGAATCATGATGACGGCGCCGAGCACATGCAGCAAAACATGGGCGCGGGGCCAAATGAAAAAGGATGCCTGAAAAAAGGCAAAATGGGGTTGGATGAGCCGCAAATCCCCCGTTTCTTGTGTGAAGACCAAATCCGTTAAGTACCGCGCGGCAATAACGTACAGATGAGAAGCGAAATTGTATGTCGCCTTGCTTCGAACCCTTATCCCCATTCCCGGTCGTCGAGAGCCACGATTGACACGGCACCCCCGTGCCAGCAGCGATGCCTGCAAGTGTCAAATTGTACGGCACCGATGACGGCGGTCTTCCGAGCGGGTCGTGTAGGATAGGCGAGCGAGCAGGGCATGACCCGCGCGATGTGCGCGTTGTCTCTCAGCACCACTTTACATGCTGACGCTGGAGATGCTGTGGCCCAGAGGCTTGAGGACGTTCTTGCCATACTGGCCGCCGTAGTTGCCTGCAGGTACCCAATTAGCAACGATTTCGACGTGGTCATTCGGGCAGCAGGTGAACTTACCAGGGGGGTTGTAGTTGCAGACAGTGTACCACGAGTTCATGCTGAGAACGGTGCCGGAAGCACACTTGACCGTAGCACAGCCAACCTTGGTAACGTCCTTCCAGACAACCTGGGTGAAGTGGCCCCAATCGTAGAGGCTGGAGCTTGAGGGAGGGTTGTCCAGGCCATAGAACTGCCAGTTGAGCATCTCGCTGTTGTACCACTGGTTGGACACGCCACCCGCGGCAGCCTTGATCCTGGAGTCGTCGGTAAGGGCGCCGCTGGTTCCCCAAGAGGCAAGGTTCTGGCCGTAGCCGCCGCTGCCCTGGTTCCTGTTGCAATTGTCAGCGAATGCACACGGAGTCAGGTCGCCAGTCCCATCTTACATGTCATGCTCGAAGACGCAGGTCTTGGCCGTGTTCTCAGCGTATTGAGCAAGCGTGGAGTCCCAGGTCAGATCACCGGCAGAGTGGTTGCTGCGGTGAATGTTGTGGCGGTAAAGCATGGTCGACTCGTAGCTGCCGTCGCTGGGAGGGGCCGGAGCCGGAGCCGGCGCGGCAGAAGTCGTAGGCTTAGGCTCAGGGGCAGGCTGCTTGGGGGCAACGCTGGTCGTCGTCTGAGGGGGAGGGGGAGGGGGTGCCTGGGTCGTGGTCTGGGGCTTGCTGACGGGCGGGGGAGGGGGAGGGACGTAAGTTGGCGTGGGCTTGGGCTTGGGAGTGTGCTTGTGCTCCACGAAGACGCCCGTGGGAACGGCAGCAGCTTGGGCGCCGGCGGTGACCGTCACGGTGACAACCTCATAAACCCAGTCGGTGTGCATGGCGCGCTTTCCAAGGGGACTGGCCGTGGCCAGCATGGCGCTGGCGGCCGCGAGGAACAGAGACGACTTCATTTTTGACGACGAGCTCTGAACAAGGCAGGTTTGCGGTGCTTGGATCTATAAATGATGGCCTGTTGCCTTGTCAGCCATGCCCGCTTTCGGCTATAGACATCATCCTGGATTGGAAGTGACGAAGGGTGACGTCGCAGATGAGCAGTCAGGGTTGCGGTAAAGGCAAAGTGAGTAAGAGTCCATGCAATGAAGCCGTGGCCGACATTCTGGATTCGGAACAGATTCGATCGTAGGGAGAGGGGGAGGAGGTTGGGACCTCGGGCACTGGAATGCGGTTGCTGTGGAGGCTGGGCCCTTGTGGAATGGGAACAATGGATGGCGAGACCCTGCATGCAAGCGCGGCCTGCACAACGATCCGAAGTCCCATTGTTTCGGTCGTCGCCGGATGCGTCGCGGGGTCGCTTTGTTCCAGCGCAGGCGCTTGCTCTCGGTGAAATGCGCGCTGGGCAGGATGCGGCTCAGGGGTGAGGTCATCGCCAACACCACCACTCCACACACTTGGCGCTGACTTGCAAGTTGCCACGGGAATGAAATCTAACAAAGTCACCCACCTTTTCGAGATTTGACTGCGACAGGAGCTAGAGCTTTCGAGCGGGAGGACCAGGCTCGGAGGCGCGACGGTTTTTGGATCAGGACCAGCTGGGACAGCACTGCTGACGGGTAGGTTGTTTGATGAGGACGGCTCAAGACGAGGCGGTCCAAATTGGATGTTTCGGGGCTTCGACGACGGAAAGTCGAGTGGTGCCGGTGGCAAAAAGTTTGTATTCGAAAGGAAAGACAAGAAAGACGGTTTGGCAAGACAGGAACCACGAGAGGATCGGTGAGTAGCCGCGACCTGGCGATGCGGAAGCCTACCAGAGACCTATTTGTGGGCGAGAGCCAAAGAAGAGTAGAACAAGGAGCGTACGGTGCCGTCGAGGACACGCAAAAGGAGTGATGAGGTGAAGAAAGGTGAGATGAGTCGAAAGAGCCCGACACCGATGCTTGATAAGTGAAGGAGCGTGAGGGGAGGTAAAAGAGTAGAAAAGGGTCGCGAGCAGGCCGTCTGGTAGTCGGTCAAGCTGGGGCAGGCCCGTCTGTTTGATCGTTTCAACAAGGGGGGAGGCGTGAGCCCAGAAAGACTGGAGCAGCAGACGACGCGGCCGTGCTGGAAATTCGGCGTGCAAAGGAAGGGACAGGAGTATCCGCCTGGGATACGTAAAGGAGGGGCGTGGGCAAAAACGAGAGGAATGATGAAGGAGGGAGAGGTGGACGAGGGGAGAGAGCGAGCAAGAAAGAGCTCAGAGGAGCAGGCAAGCAGGCGAGAGAGCCCGGGCACGGCTCCGGGCATCGCAGCTCCAGCCTGGAAGCCCGCCCGGGCATCCATCGATCCACACATGGCCCCTGGTCCGCCTCCGAGCTCCCAGGCCAGGGCCTGAAGATCCCCGCCGTTGTCTGCGTTAGCGCCAGGGGCACGGCGTCCGTGGGTGGCCAAATGCACTGGGGACATGGGGGGCACAGCGCTACGGCAGCCGCCAGCCGTGGTCCAAGGCGACTGGCCTCGCTGTGGGTTGGGTCTGGGGGAAATGGCCTGCCAGAAGGACCTGCCCAGGGGCGTGGGTCTAGCGAGCCACGAACCACCCATTCGCCCCAAGCCTGGAATTCATTAACCACGTCGCGGCACTAGGCACCTAACCGGGGCACGAACCACAGCGCCGTCGCCAGCGAGTCGGCGAGTCGTGCGTCGCCTAGCGAGGCCCGCAATCCGTCTCATCATTGCGCGCACTCTATCGGCAACAGTGAATAGATGAGCCTGTTCCCATTGACGCGCCCAACCAAGTGACGGGATGAAGAGGCCCCCACGAGGCTCAAACGGAGGCCTGCTCGATCAAAGAAGCACCGGCTTGAATTTTGATACTGTGCTTGGGGGCCTTCCGTCCCGCCCGGTCCACTGGCGCCGACAGCTGGAACCCACAACTGCCACATGGCAGTCGTGCAGCAGTCGAAGACGCTGGGATCGAATATCGTACAAAGCAGAGCAGAACGCTTGGCACCCGAGGCATCTGCACGTGCAAGGGCGGCATGTATGCGTAGTTGCGTATAATGTTCGTACGGGCAAACATCACAATGCCAAATTCCAATGGCTTGGCGGCACAAATTGTTGCCCAGCCCGAGGCTCGCCGCGACGGGGTGCCAAGTTGCCGTGGCGGTCGTCAGGCGGTTCCCCTTGTGCACCGTCGCACCCATACAGTCGCACGACAGACTGTACGAGTACAGCGTCGGCGCCGACCTCGATGCGGTTGAGGCGAGAATGCAATGCTTGTATACTCGCAACGAGCGGTGGGGCTCGCCTCTTACCTACGACGCCGGCATCCGCCACGGGAGGCAAAGGAGCGGGCATATGAGGACATTCCCACTGCCGCCCCGCCGTCACAGAACAGTGGTGCGATGGGACGATTGCGACCCACGGGAGATCTAGAACGTCGACGGCAGGGAAGAGGCATTGCCAGGCTCTGAGATCGGCTCCGGGATGCTTGCGAGGTTTTTGCCCCGGGGATTGAACGAGATGCCCGAATCCGTCTTGTTGGGCCCGCAACGGTCCATCAATTGCCAGAGAGAGGAGGATGAAATACAGGAGTGTGTGGCGGAAGTTTGGGTACGAGGGGCAGGCACCTTCCATTTGTTGCCCAGCACTTGCCGCCCACCTTGCGCATTTGGGGTACGAGTACTGTGCAGGACTTGCGCAGAACGCCGAGGGGACATCTTGGCTTCGCAAACAATGCCCTCTGGTCTGTCCGCGTCCGGGTAGACGCGCAGTACTGGCATGGTCGCCCCGCTGGCCAACCAGGTGGGGCCACTGTATGGGCCCGCCAAACAAGCTACGGTGGCGCTGCGGGGCTGCTCGTCCCTGAAACCGCCCTCATCTCAGCGGCTGACCCGCGTGCTGCCCTTCATCTCTGGCCCTTCCTTCCTCGACTTCAACCGCGTTCCAGGTTACCCTGCCGGCGGGCGCTGGCTTCCGACCCGGCCATTACGACAGTATCATCCCGAACTCCTCGCTCCAGCAACAATCCACATCATTATCGGCATGGCAGCGCCTGTATCGACCGGCATATCGTCTGGCTCTAACATGGTCGACCGCGGTACTGCGTGCGAATCAGTTGATATTTCCCAAAGCGGCCGTCGCCTGAACGATCACTCGCCCCCACCATCGCCCTCCCACTCGACCGCGTGCGTGAGCGTGGCGTTCCAGCCTGGCCAGGCGCACCCGGCCACAATGACAGCCCTGTGCCCCCTTGTTGATGTCATCCCCAGCTTTGCTGGCGACCCTGCCGAGACATTTCGCTTCAGATCCGCTACAATCGTTGCTTTTTGTCGGCGCGTGTCTCGCCTCGCTGTCGAGAAAGAAGTCGCCGCCGCTTTCATCCCAAAACATGGTGGCTGACAAGGGGCCCCGTTTAACAAAGTCGAAAGCAGCAGACCCTTGGCCCTGGCCGCGAGCACGCCGCGCCCATGTGTAACTATTGGCCTCGTCGAACCTTGGCAGTCGGCCGCGGGAAGACGGACATGCCTCCATTGGAACGCACGCTTCTCCCATAATGCATTGTCCCGGCAGCGCTGCCGGACCCTGAGGTGTCCTGCGAGGTATGGTATGCAGGACTGCCTGACGCGTTCGTTTTCATCCAGCCACTGGCCGGATGGAATCAAGGGAGCCTCTCCCCGGATCGTCGGCGTGCGACCATTGTTGCACGGCAGAACCTTCCGACTCCTTTGTTTCCCCTCGCCGCCTATACTCGTACGAAGTATTGAACGTTCCTTCGCGACTCGGCCAATCACCCGTTTTCGTGGGTAAACGCATATCTGACATGGGCCAAGCAAGGGGCGCGCCAGCTTGCACGATGCTCTCCCGTACTCGTACCCGTCCCGGCGACCTCAACTCCCACTGCCCAAGCTTGAGCCCTTGACCTTCATTTCGGGTTTGATGACGGATTCGAAGACGACCTCGTCGTCGGGCCACCATTCGGCTCAAGCGGCGTGCCGGACCCCCTTCGTCATGTCGCAAGCGCGCTTCTGTAAGATTGGACCTTCGCCAATCTGAGCCATGGTGTGGAAGCTCCCGCCGCCAACCACACACCCCACACACCCCCTGGCGTTGGACCTCATCAACCACTTCAATTCTCGGGCCTTCCCCTATGTTTGCTACGACGGCAAGTTGAGTTGCACAAGAGTCGAGGCAACCGTGGTCCATCTCATGCGATGCTTCGTCGTCTCTCCCGGCGGGGTCTGTATTCGACGGATTGGACGCAACTTGCAAGTGGACGAAACCAACCTTGTCAAGGTGAAACTGGCGGCTGCGACCCAACAGCGCGGCCAGCTTCCGTGCAGCTCATCATCGATGTATTCTGTTCAACGGCGGGTCGTGCCTTGCGGCCGCTCACGCACACGCCCTGGGCGGCCCGTTGTGCCGCCGACCATCCCTTTGCTTTTGGGTCGTCGTTTGCTGCACCGTGTTGACGTCAACTGTCTCGGGCGTGCATCCACCCGCCAGCTCCGATGTCGTGCACGCAAGGGGACTTCGTTAGGTCTCTGAAGTGAGGTCTGACAATGCACCTGATACTTCGGACCTCACAGCGCTGTTCTGCGACGTGGTAGCGCAGCATAGAGTGCAGATGCGGCGGCATATATCCAGGAACACACGCCTTCGATTGCTTCCGTAGGGCACGGGGTTCGCCTCTCCGACAAGCCACGATCCTCTTGAGAGTCGGCGGTACATCGGCAACCGCCTGGAAATGTCCCCATGTCTGCGGGCCTGTAGCTTGCTCCTCTCCTTGCACACTACCCACAGTAGAACGCAAGACCCTTCTTTGATACATGACTTGCCCGGCGCATACATATGCCGAAGCCACCACAGAGGAACTTTACAACGGCCCCGATCCATAAACCCCAGATGTTGCTTGGCTATGGGGTTCCGAGTAAAATCATGTCATTGTTTGCTGTAGATTGTTGGCGCAGGCTTGCCTCCCTCGTGACCCTGCCGTCGGCCGAGTCAATCCTCGTTTGAGTTTCGAGATCGCAAGGATCTCGACAAACACCATGCGCGGCGCTCATTTATCTGAAAACCTTCCTCCCGAGGTCATTTCGAGCGAATCCACAAACGCAGTTCCAATCACGGTGGAGGATAGGGTCTCGGTGATTTTTACACCAGCTCCAAGATTTGGTATAGGGTAAGCCGATTCGGGTTGATGTCGACGAGCCGACACCAGCCAACTGAATTGCGGTGAAGAGACCTTGGGCTTGTGTTATGGTTTATTAGTACGAGATGCCATTGCTGCCACTACTCGGTGCGAAGCTTTGGTCTCGTGGCTCTCGTTCGTCTGGTTTCAAGTCGCGGCACTGGTTTACACGGCACTGCCTGACATTATAGACTTGGAATCACCGATTTGTCACATCAGCTGGTCCTACCTGGGAAGGAAACGGAGCCGCGATACCTAAGCCGTCGCGTATTTGTCCCCCAGAACTGTCTCGTCTGTTAATACCGCTGCGCTGCTGATAAGCTGGGGGAGGGAATTTGCTGTGAGTGGACCAACATGCCCATGACACCGTCATACGAAGCACGCCATGCTCTTCCCAGAACCATGCACTGTAGCGCGTGGTTGTATGCACGAGTCGATGGTTGTGAAGAAGAATTGATGTTCAACTAAAGAGAAAACACGGGTCTATATGCCGCGGGGTACAGGAAAGCGGACAAGTGCCGCAGGAGCTGCAGCGAGTGACACCTTACCGCTGTGCGATGAGACTACATGTGCCTTGTGCAAACTCACGCACGAGCTAAGGTCGCGCCGTGACAGGTGGCTCCGCATAAATGTAGAGTCGTATCACTATGATGTCCCACGTACCTCATCAGCAATGCTGCGAGTGTTAATCGTAACACTCGAAACCGACGGCAGCAGGCGAGATTGCCTTGCAATATCCCGAGACGGAGTCCCATGTATGCTGTTTCGAGAAATCAAGACACGGATGACATCACATGGCAGGATCAAAAAGGAAGATCAGCGACGTTCTCAGTTTAATAAAATGTACAGTTTCTGTTCGTCACAACCCCCCTTCCGGCTCATAGCAGCACTCTATTGCTTCGCCTCGGTCTGCTGGTTGGGAACGAACGGCTTGCCGTCGCCAGGGCTGATGCGCACATCGGCAAAGATTTGCTTCGGTCGCAGCTCGACAGGGGTGACGTTGGTCGGCTGATCGGGGATCTTCTTCTCGAGTTTCTGCCGTCATTGTCAGCCGCGGTTCTCGTTATACATGCAGCGAGCCGGGCTCGCAGGCGAGACGCACCAGGTTGTCAAAGACACACTTGTTCAGCTTCCACTCGGCGGGGCGGCACTGCCAGAGCTGATGGTTCCGGTCGTCCAGGCACTCCCAGTGCTTGCGGAACTCGGCGAGGCAGTGGGTGTTGATGTCCTTGATCCTGCTCTGATTGTCAGTAATCGGTCGACTTCGTCCGCAAACACCCTTCTGCCACCGTCGGCAGGGCCTTAAAGTGTCCTCGAGCCCTCTAGGCGGATATGGGCACGTACACGCTCTGGGCGCAGCGGGTGACCCGTCGCCCCTCCTTCATGCACTCGAACTCGCCGCGGCCGGGGTTCTCCGTCTTGCACTGCATGTAGTCGTCGTTGTAGTCGCGGCACCGGGCGCCGATGAAGAAGGACGCCGACAGCAGCGGCGCCGAGCTGGCGCCAATCTCCTTGACGGCCGGGACATCGTCCGGGAGCGGCGTCGTGTCGATGAGAACCTGCTGGTGAAAGCTGGCTCGTTGGTTAGCGGCTGAGCATGACGGCGGCGCGCGGGTCGCGGCCAATCGGCGACGCAGCGCAAGCGCAGCAGCCAGAGAGAAACATACTTGGAGCGTCGGGTCGCCATTTTGCTCGTGTTGGGGCTGACCTTGCTGTGAGTGCCGGGTGAGGTGAATGAAGACCGCGATCGCGGGAGCCGGAATTTGAGGTCGAGGTTGGAATTGGTGCGTCGTGATTGGCCAACCCGCCACAGCGAGGCTGGCCTGGTGGACGAGGCGGCGAGATCCACTCTGTCGTCTTTGTGCACGGCGCCTCAGCTTCAATTTTGGGACCGCGAACAACAAACCACGACGACCCTCCGCGACGCACGTGCTGCAGCTATATCCAACGACGAAAGCCGCGAACTGCATGTCGCCCATTGCATGCATGCGTGAAGCATAGAGCGTCGCGTCCAATCACCGTCCGGCGTCGCGCAACGCCTGCTTGCCTCCGCGCAGGGAGAAAGCATCGCCCGGAGCAGAGCTAAAGCTTCGCTGTTCAGCCACCGACAATGTCGCTCTTCGGCCAGTCCAAGGGCTTCGGCTCCGGAGGCCTTTTCGCACAGTCTCAGCCAGCTCAACAGTCGCAACCGACACAGCCGACAAGCAATACCTTTGGCCAAACCTTGGGCGGTGCGCAGCAGGGCGGCGGTCTAGGCAGCTCGATGATGCAACAGCCGCAGCAGGTTCAGCAAATGCCTGCCCTCGCACAGTCTGCAGCTCAACTCTCGAGCTCGCTATGGCAACCGGGCAAGGAGACGCCTCGTATGTATCCCTGGCGACGCGCCGCATCTTGAACCAGCTGCTAACTGATGCACTAGACCAGAAGCCCATCCTGGACCAGATCAAGCTTGTCACGGAGAAATGGGACCCGTCAAACCCCAGCTGCGTCTTCAAGCATTACTTCTACAACAAGGTTGACGAGGCGCACATCCCCTTTTACAAGCCCCAACCGCACGAGGACCCTCGCGAATGGGAAGAGGCGCTGCAGAACAAGCCGGCGCCAGGCTTCATGCCGGTGCTCTGCTCTGGATACACCGGCGTAGCAGACCGCCTCAAGACACAGAAGCGGGCCATCTCCGAATTCAACACGCGGCTGCACCAGATCAATAGCAGCCTCGATGCCATTCTCCAGCGCCACGAGCTAGAGACAGAGGTCAGGGCACTTGCGGCACGGCGACGACAGACTGCCATAAGTGAGCGGTGCCTGGCGTTGGCCGCACGGGTTCAGATTCTGCGGAATAGGGGATACGCGCTGAGCGGCGACGAGGATGACCTCAAGAACCGACTACAGAACCTGTGCAGGGAGGTGCAAGACCCGGCCCTGGGCGCAAGAGAGGAGGAGCTGTGGAGCAGGCTGATTGTGCTGCGGGCGTACTCTGACCGTCTCAACAAGGAGCTTGACAAGCCGGCGGTTAACGGCAGCGAAGAGCTCGACCCGGATATGGTGGCCAAGGCCAAGCGGGTAAGCTTCTACTTTCGAATCACCATGATGTTGCAAAAGACTAATAAGACGCGCAGGTACTGGAGGACTATGAGAAGCAGCTTCAGCACCTCAAAAAGGAACTGGAGGCGCTGGGGCTGGACTTTGATGAGTGGGAGAAGAGCCGTGGCGCCACCACGAAAGCTAGATAATACCAATGCTTCGGATGGGCGAGCGGGAAGATATGTACAGGCCCAACTTTGCGGGCTTCCTAGATGCTTTTGCTTTTGCACCGGCGAAATGGGATAATAGCCAAATTCTGGTCATTTGACGCCTGTCGACGCGTCGAGACACTTGTAGACACTGGACATTGAGGCACGGCAGCTTCTACGCTGTGGCTCACGATATGCTCGTTGCTTGCATGCCATGGATGCTCATGACTTCGGCAAATTCTCTTGGATGCCCATTTGTTCAGATGCTTGGCTCTAGCTGTCCGTGATATGATACAACGGGCCAGGTTGTCCGTGACCCTGCCCTATCCGTAGCTCCTCAAATCGTACAGAGAGAGGTCGGTCGCCGTCTCAAAATTACCTTCCCTGGAGTGAGGAAGCTCAAAATTCTATCGTGACAAATTTTTGCGGCGCATGATGGCGTATTGTAGGCTCGTTCTCGCGGCGGAAGATTTTTTCATCCCGGTCAGGGACCACTCAAAGGATTCGGCTGGCCATGTCAATGGCAAAGGGAGCTGTCGCGGCGCGTCTGGTCAGCAAAGATCCCTTCTCAAACTCCTTGGAGATGATCAAACGTACAGAGATACAGCATAAAGGCCGTGGCGACGACCTGCTGGACGGTAAAGGTCGCCTCGGCCTCCATGGCGCGGATCTCCTCCGGGGACTGCTGCGGGGGCGCGACTACACGGAGAGCACGTCAGCAAACGTTGCCCTTGGGCTATTACCCAACAGGTATTGTGACACGGCGCGTTGGACGTACATCCTCCAAACATCGTGACAAACGGGATGGCGATTTGTGGTGTTCTTGGAGTGTGGTGGTGATGGCGGGTGGTTGGGAGTACTGGGAGGTTACGTAAAAGAAGGGCGACTTCGGCCAGGAGGAGACGGGCAGCGCTGGCGGCGGGCGCGGTCACGGGTGGTGACGCCCGGCGGACACGAAAACTCGGGAGCCGCTAGCCGCCGTAAGAGGCAGCTGCCTTCGCCCAGCGTCGGCCCGAGCGTGGCCGATGTCGTCGACCATTCGCTCCACCGCCAGGCGCGGCGGCGGAGGG